GGTACCTATGTGTATTTTCAAGGACGGAAAGTTGTTGACAATTTGGCAAATTGTATTTTGATAAGCGTTTTCAATAAAGGAAAGTGACCCTGGTGCATTTTCATTCGCTTTAAAAGTATCCTGCGGCGTAAAAAAGTTAAAGTAAGTCGTAAATAGGCCTAGATGTAAACAACCGCATGCCACCCGAAAGAGGACAACGCGTAGCTTTAATACGAATGCACAATCTATAAGTACCTCTTTATTAATGTATGAATAAAAATATCAGTAAATTTTATAAGCTAATTCATAACAAAGAATGATGTATATTGAGATCTACACTTGAAAGGGACGACATGGATTATCCTGTTATTTTTTAAAGTTTATTTTTTATATGTGAGAGGATCATACGATTTTCAAAATATTGCATTTTTTTTTATATCATCAACACATTTTGCTCTTAGTCGGGAGAGGACAAACAAACATTATTTTAAAGATGGCCTTGCATATCACCTTGAATTAGGTGATCTCTGCTAATAAAATAACCCTAGATGTAAATAAATGAATGGTATCAATATTTAATATTCCATTTTTTGTTTGATTTCCTATTCTATACCCACACTGAAAATGGAAATTATATATACAGTAAGATTTAACAAATCGAATGGAAGACATCTTACAGTTTAGAAGTTGCTTAATTTAAGAAAAGTAACAGATATCATATTGTTAGATACTCATAGGATCGTTTTAAATTTTTTAATAAAACTTTATTTGATTTAATAGAAGTGGACTTTTTTTTCGAAAGGATAAACTTAACTCTGATGTTTTGGAGGTCCATGTTTGCTCTGCTCCTAATTTGTATTGTTTTATGGAGTTAAGAGCTTGAATAATGTTCGTTATCTCCATATCTTTTCATTTCATAAAGGTATGTTAATGGCTAGAGAATCTCTTAATTTAGACTAATCTATCTGACATGCAGTCAAAGAAACTGTTTACAAACAACTTGAAAGGTCTAGATTTCATTCCACAATAAAGAAATTAAATTTCGTTTGAAACATGTAGCCACAACGTAATATGAAAAGGAATGAATCTATTACCAGGATGTACACTAAGTGTGAATACGTTTGTTTAAAAAAGTTATTTCACAAAAAAGATGTGATCGGTATTTGTCAATAAACATGTTATTGCGCAACACATCAGTCACAAACTACTTCATTTATTTACGTGAATTAGCATCTACACAGGTAGGCTGTTTTTATTCTTATTACTGTTAATTATGTCATACTTGTTTTAAAACCTTGAAGTAAAGAATTATATTTTTATTATAATTAATTCCCGTTTCTGAATATATATTGACTTTATCTGGCCTATAGATTTATGTCCTTTGTTTTTAAAGTATTTTACTAATATTTTATTCTGTGATAACTACAGTCGTATACATGTATTTATGTATGCTTAATATTAAACAGATTTTGGAGACAGGAATAATAATGAATATTTACATATGAATATTTACATTTTCAAATGTGTTTCTTTACAAAGTCATCTGTTACTATCTTCTAACTATCAGTGGCTTTGTAATTCTTTGGTCTGCTTACAGACTTGTGAATGAAAAAAAAAAGGTTAACGATAACGAACAGTGATCCATTTCATCAAAACTTCAGACAATATAAATCTGTTAAAAAAGGACATACACACGAACCCCTGGAAATTCCCGAGGGTAGATTAGGTGTTAAGGAGGAATAACCATCTTCTGTTGATCGATCACACCCGCCGTGAGCTCTATGAACCTATCACTGAAGTAGACGGAACTTTGGTCCATTGCAACTGAAAAAGGCAGGCAACATTCGATCCAGGGATAAGTTATAATTTTTGTTAAGGTAATTATAACGACCATAGAATTTACGGAATGCTGACTTGAAACCGAGGTTGCTGAAATCCCTGTAACATCAACTTTTATGTGAGTAGCCTGTCTCGGTATATAAAAATAATCATATTCAGAGCATGCTCTAGAGTATTGAATAAGTTGAGGGACATAAACACCATAAGCTAGTGATAGTGGAATATTACTACATTAATAATAAGAGTTGACATTGGAAAAACTGAAATCATCTCGTTTAATAAAACAATTAAGTTTGTCGTCTATAGTTATTTAAACATTCAAATAGGTAAAAGATGTAACAGACTCTGTGTTGTCTTTTATCATGATCACTGAGATAAAACGAGTCGACACATAATTGAAAATAGCTATTGTTAACTGATAAAACGTCGTCGATATACCTGAATCACAAGCACCTGACGTTACTTATTTTTAAATATAAAAAAAAATATACCCCCTACCTCATAATAAATTGTGTATTATAAGGTAGAGGGTATATTTTTCATTAAAAGAAATATAAGTAACTGCATGTGCCTGTGATCTGAATGTTGAGTTGAAGATTAAGGCAAGTGTTTTTTCTTTGAATAACATCTGCTTCTTTTTCCATCGTCAGCTTTCCCTACTTTTATGTAGTTATATTCTCCTGTTATCTACTTTTGTTAATTATGACTTACAACTTATTTTTATGCAAAACATGTTACTCACTGACAAGTAGATGTTACAGGGTTTCCAACATTTCAACATTTCCTATATTCTATTGTAGTATTAATTATCTTGCTGACAAATATAACCTATTATTGGGTAGTATTTTTGGCTGATTTGTTTCATACGGACTTTTGTTTTTATTCTGAATTTGACGAAAGAAAATCAATAAATAGGTCTAACGGTGGGTATGTCTGTTCAACAGGCAGGGATCCCACCACTGGAATTTCCAGATCCAATATTATGCCTTCTTTATTAATTATTTATACGAGCGTCCTCCCAGGCATCTGATCCCACCACTGGAATTTCCAGAGGTCCGTATTTTATGCCTTCTTTATTAATTATTTATATTGTTTACAGACTTTTTGAGATCTGACACTGTTTGTTTTCTCTACCTTTACCATCCAATTAGCTGATTTGTTTTCAGTCATGCAAGTGACTCATTTAGGATGTAAATAGTCAGAAGTCGGAAGACTTTTTTTTTCAAAGCAAGCATGTTTGCCCTTAAAGAAAGAACTAATATATTACCTTACTGGGAAAAAAATATTAGTATACATGTATTACATAACTGAAAAAGAAATAAGAAGAATTACCGATTGAGGAAGTTTGAAGACATTAACGCACATTTCCACTGGTAATGTAAAGTGGTGAAAACAGAAAAGTAATATACCTTTTCGGTTTGATATGTCCCAGTCAAATCTTCGCCAGCCAAGTACGCTCGTTGGCTGGCGAAGATTTGCTTCTGTGTGCTAGATATGAAGGCCCATTTCTCATCTGTTTTATTAACAGTCTTGCCGCAGCCTCACTTAATTTCTGAACACTGAAAATAAAAGGTTCCCAACATATTTATTTAGTAGGAATATGATCGACATACAACACTGAAGTACTTTTTATGCAAGTTGTGCATAACAAGTTATAAACCTAGTTATCAAAAATAAATTTTTAATTGAGTATCATTCCCGCTGAATCTTTTTATACCTGTCCCTTTTAGTTGTTAGTATGTTTTCTCAAAATTCCCCTATTGCACTTGAAAATTCCCATTAATTGCTCAGACAAAGTTTTAAATACATAAATACATTGCATTTGACTTTTTTGGCGTTCATCAAAATTACTGAAAGATGCTAAATCAATGCATTCTTGTTTAGTTTTACCACAAAGCATTACTCAACAAAGTAATGTGGAAAACACTCTAGCAAGATTTGTGCTCAGTCACAAAATACAAGGTTCTGTGAAATGTGTTTTATAACATGCCCAGTACTTTGATCAAGTTTTACTTTAAAACATATCTAACCATCAGTGGATGAAATCCCTAGCCATGCTGTACACGTATTACATTTGGCAAAGTATTTTCTTTTTGTCCTTTGAGTATGGACAATGAAAGAAAAATACAAAAACATACTATGAAGAATATGGAACAGTAACGAACAGTATTCAATACCAAAGTCCATAAAACAATACAAAATAGGAGCAGAGCAAACACGGACCTCCAAAACATCAGACGTGGGATCAGGTGCCATGGAGGTCACACCCTGCTGACCGGCCACACCCGCCGTATACTAATAGACCAGTAAAGAATAAAAACAGTAAAAAAAATCAATAAAAATTTAGAAATTATTACACAAATGATAAAACACATGCATATATAAAACAGAATGTGAAACTTACATCACAAATCAACAATTGTAGATTATTTGCGTAAAGATTAAACATTGCACTGCCATAGGTCCGCAGTGGTGGAGTGATATAAATACTACAGATGTAACGAGACCTGAGTGGTTAATATTGTCATACCATACCGATCAGTAGAACCTTACACACAGGGGATACTTACTCATCCAATGTATCTGATCCAATCTTTGGAATTTCCAGAGGTCCGTGTTTTTACGCACTGTTCACATATTTGTATTTTTGTAGAGGTTCTGAAATCGAACACTTTTCTTTATCTTCACCTTTTTTTATTTCATACAACACCTAATTTAGGGAAATAAATATCTACAATAAGTGCGTATTTATATATTTACATTATAAATATATATATATAATAAATAAATTTTTCTTTATCTTCACCTTTTTTGTATATTTATTTAAGATAATATTTTTATTTATTTATTTAAAGTCGGGTACATCAATGTATATATAAATAAATAAAAATATTATGTTAAATAAATATACAAACAATAGCTGTCTAACATATCGTAGAAAATGCATTTCGAAACAACCTTATAAGTATAATCTTTTACAATTCCCCATTGGTCTATACATGTAATACATTATTTCCTTTCCTTTTTTACTGTATCTAACAGGTGATTTTCAAGCTTTAAAATACTATAGTAATCAAACATATATTCATGTACATGTAAATCATAAACTCACGCGCATGTGAAAAACTCAGCATGTTAAAAGTTATCTTAACTTCCTTTCCTACTCGTTGTGAAATTAACAACAGGAAGGGAAAAGAGAGGAACATTTATGAATATCTAATTCATACTTCTCTCCCTCTAATGCCATGAAATATCGTAAATTTAATGAAGATGAAGGAGCTAAGGAAAAAATTTCTGAACGATTGCACAAACTTTATGATGATATTGCAGGTCTGGGAAGCATGGGCCTGTTTAGGCAGTTTCTTCAACTTTTGTGGAAGAACCTTATATTAAGAAAACGTCAAAAGGTAAGGGAAACTTAATGTGGTAATTCATTTTCAAGATTTTTCTTCCTCAACTAACCACATCAAAATGTTTTATCAATCTTTATGCACTATCATACATTGCAAGGTCTGATAAAAAGAAAATTTATATATATGTACTAACAAGCATTTTTAAAGGACCATCAAATACTTTCTCAAATCTATAATAAGGAATTTTAATTTCTATTAGTAAGAATATATAGTCGTTAAAAATGCTATACATGTAACGTAACAACAATTTAGAAAAAGCATTTTTCACTTGGTTTTAAATTCCAATTGTAACGATAGTTTTATTCAAAGTTTTTCTAAGTAAGCTGTCCTGAAGAAAAATCATTATATTGTAGTCAAATAAATATCAAGAGATCTTCAACCCTATTCTATTTACTTAATATTAATACTCTAAATATAGATATAAAATAAGTATACATATAATACTTGAAAACTTTACAAGATCAACAGAAAGTAATTGTATGAATCAAAACTCTTCCGTTCATTGCAAACGTAAGTCTTGCTGAAATAAATACGTTGTGAGGGCAATCCTTAGCGGACATGTCTCTATTTATTACTGGGTGTGCAATGAAACTTTAACTTCAGCAAAAATGTGAATATTACGCAGTACAGTTTTTGTATACAATACTAAGTCTTATATTTGAAATCTTAAAATTTTAAAATGACTAAAGACTAAAGATGCCAAAGAGTAACCCGATAACTGGGCACATGATCGAACGTCCGAATATCGAATACTGATATTTTGTTACTGGGTTACTCTGGAAGTAATTTTTCATGATACAAAGTACATATATTATTTGGAATTAAATTTTTCTAGTAAATTATTTATGCTTTGTCCAATTTTTTACAGTAACAAACTTTATTTATTCATGCTATTTATGTAAATTATGCTTTTCTGGTTAAAGAATGTTTTTTATAGCCGATGCTTGTGACCAATTCGGATTTTCCGTTTAAAAGTTAAAACTGAAAACTGTTTCTTTTCTAGCTACATAAAGCAGCATATAAAGTTTTGATTCGCCGGTCCAAATGTTTACATTTACAAGGAACATAATAAACTTGCATGGATGGCGAGGATATTCAAACTTTGATTTTTTTTGTATGCATTTTGCAGGGCTTGTAGCTCTTTGTCCAAATAACTCATTACTAACCGATCTGACATCCCAAAATTAACACACTTTTTTTATACAATAAAAATCCTTCTATAACATAATTTCTTCACAAATTCTCACTCAATTATTCCGGCTGTGGCAGTATGTACATGTCTGTCGAATTGTCCAATAATATACGTGTTACTCCTGCATCAAACAAAGTGTCACGTCTCGTCGTATTTTGTTATTATCATGACCAAAGAAAAATATATGTGTGCAAAAATCTATGTAATTGTGTGTGAATCCGGACGAAAAAGTAGACAAACAAGGAATAGAAATATAACATTTCAAGCCGGATATTTAAAAAAAAGACCTGTTAAGTCTTTGAAGAAATATAATTAGACAAACTAGGTACAAATATCCTACATTTATATGCATATAGGTATTAAATAAAAGTATTAGAAATCAGACATTTTAAGAAAATTAACTATAACAAGATTTTTAAATTTAGTTTTATTTTTTTCTAAATTCTAGACCTTTAAATGTAACAAATATTTTAAATGCAATTTTCCCTTCTTTTTTTCTTTCATGGATACCAAAATGTAAAAATAAACACTTATATATTCCTAAAACAAACAGAGAAACAAAAGAAGCAAAACTAAAAACCAAATTGATTTATAAACTGGACAATGTATTAAATGTTTCCTTGATTTACTTAAGCATGTGTTGCTGTTGGAAGTAGTGTGGCCTGTGTTTATATTTTTGGTGGTGATCATCATTCGGCAAGGCACACCACCCGTCAAAAAGGATACATGTGAGTACTCAATGTCCTTATCATTTACTCATCACGTGATCTGAAGTATTCAGAATGTAGAAAAATTCATTTAAGATATTTTTATAGGATATTTTTTTAAATGAGATTGTTGTAATAGGTCCAACAACGAAATTAAATCTTCACAAGTTTATATACTAGTATTAATATACATGTACAATATACATGAAATAGGAGATATGCTTATTATCAATACGAATACATGGACATGAAATATATGGAGATAGCGAACAAGTTCAAAAGATCATTCAAATAGTACAAATCAAGAGCTGAGCAAACATGGACCTCTCAAACATCAGAGATGGGATCAGGTGCCATGGAGAAGTGAACATCCCCTGCCGACCTTTAATTAATTAGATACACAAAAGGATGGTTATAAAATACGCAGGAAAACTCAGCGTGATTCCAAATTTCTCTGGAATAAGCATTTCTCTGAACTTTCATCTTTATACAAGCTTATATATTTTAAGCCTATTCTTTTAAGTTTAGGTTCTGTAAGTTTTCATAAAGGCAATTCGTACATTGTATTTGCTTCGTATGATAACACCCTAAGCTGATTTCTATCAATCCATAAATTGGTACCATAGAATTTAAGAAGTACATTTCTATTTCTAAGTTTTACCTTCACAGGTTCCTACAATGAGCACGCTATGCCCAGCGCTGGACTGGTTCCATTTCTTCAGTCCACGGTCTGCAATCTACAGAATCCATGTGAGGCACGGAGCAGTATAGAAATAAAGCAAAACAATATGAACAGGTAAACGATCATATAGTTTAAAGAAGAGGGATCAACTCGTTAATCATAAATCATTTATTTTGATGACTTCATTTTTTCCCATTCAATATCTGCGATGTAAATTACATGTACATATATATATTGGATAAAGAAACGATATGTGCAATGAATAATTGAAACATATTCCTTAGCCAATATCTATAATTATATTGCATTCAATTATATTTCAATATTTTCCTTAATCAATTTCTATAGTTATATTTCATACAATTATTTTGTGTTTTAACATCAAAGACAGAATGGTTGATAAAGGAAAAAGGCGAATTTCAAAGAGTACTAGCATCTTAAAACAAAAACTTGCAAACAATACAGATTTGTGTACAGGACATGTAACATTCCTTACTCCTGAAATATCTAGATGTGGGATCGGTTAACCAAGACGAATAATCACCCCTATCGACCGGTTACATCCACTGTGGACCTTATTTATTGATCAAGTAGACATGCAGAATATTTCATCGTTAAAAGTTTAAAAACAAAGGCCTAATTGTTATGAAATATGTCAGTCAAAAAAAGACCCAACGATGGGTTATACGACTACTAACGACCTTAGAATTTACGAAATGCTGTAGGAATTGACATGCTTGTCACAGTATGTCCTTGAGTATCGAATTTGGGAGAAATAAACGTCAAATGCAGGTGATAGTGAAATGTTACTATAGAAATAAGGGAATTGACGATGGAAAAACCGAAGTCATGTCGTTTAGTTGCCCATGTCGTCTCTGGTCAGTTAAACATCCAAATATAAACAGACAAGGAAGGCAATTGTTACAGGGATATATCGAGGTCGACATGTAAAATATAAATAAAAGTAACTATATATATATATATATATATATATATATATATATATTATTCATTCATAATACGTTCTCGATCTCTGAATGCCGAGTTGAAGGCCACAGCAAGTGTTTTCTTCTTCCCAACTAGTTTTGAAAATTCTACTGCATAAAAAATTTAAAACAAGCAGGCTGAAAAGGAGCACAGTTAATGTCCATATGAATGTTGGCTGACTTTTTTCATACCAGTTGTTAGGCCTTTGTTTTTTATACTGAATTTGACTACGGAAAGTTCGTCTACATGTACCTGATCAATATATAGGACGCACGGTGGGTGTGACCATTAAAGGGGATGCTTACTGTCCTAGGCCCCTGATCCCACCTCTGAAATTTCATGGGGTCTGTGCTTTATGACCTCACATATTTTTATTGTTTATAGATTTTTTTGAGATCGATCATTGCTTCTTCGCCCTTTACATTAGAAATATTTACTAGTATACTGTAGAAAAGATTTAATGAGGTCAAGTCTAGGCAATGTATGTTTTTTTTATATCATTATATATTTTGTTGGGTTATTCCTTATTGCATAAAAGTTTCACGGTCATTCCATGTACTGTTTCCCACTCCAAAAAAATTCTCCCTTTGTGTTTTAATATTTTAACAAAGTTTAGGTCCACATCGACGGAAAATATTTTTTATACTAAATCACGATGGGTTCTGGCGCTTATATGGTTACAAAAAGTGAACCTATGATATTTAAGTGTATAAATTAATAAAACAGATCAATATAAAACCCTTCTTTATAATTTTTTTCTCCTTTGTTAATCTTTCAAGCACATGAATAAAATTTATACCGAACATTTATTTGAACATTTTGATATGGCAAAGAAAAATAAACTGTAAAAACAAGTTTCACAGCCCCAGGTGGAATTTGTTGGATGAATTATTTTCACAAAGGTTTTATTTTTTATTGTTGCTCGGATTCTGAGATACATTTCGGGTTATATATTCGTGGAATGTTTATTTTTATATCATCCCCTTCAAACTAAAACGAATGTCATTGTTGATACCTTTATTTTCGATGCATAATGTATTATGGTTTTATATTGTTTGGATGACATTTCCCATATTGATAATGAAATTCAATGTACTTTAAAATTCCTTCGATATTCTTATGTATGATCACCTGGATAATTTGTTCAGTTGTTGATCTTAAAATCTAAAAATGTTTGTTTGAGCAGATAGGTTTACGGATTTCAACACTGAACCGATAGTTTTTCCTGTAATAATGATAAGGACAAAATTCATAATATGATATGTAGTGATTTACCCCCATTTAATTATGCAGACAAACCTACCAATCCTTGTGGTTTTTTTAATTCCTTGCGATTTCGCAATATCCGCGTGAGAATGTTTTTTAAAGATGGTTTTTTTTTTAAAAGAAGGTTAATATAAGGGATGGATCGATTTGGTTTTTCTCCACCTTGTGAATTTCTAAGTAGGTTAATATTAGGGATGGTTTAACTCCCATATCTTTTAAAATATTAATCAAGTTATTTGAGTGCGTTTTTGATATGCGTGTGTCGATCAGTCTAAAAGCTCGTATTTGAAATAAAAACACATGTAAATTGAAAAATATACAGCAGAATGAAACAACAAAGATGTATAAAAAATAAACTTCGATTTTATAGGACTGTTAATAATATCCAAAACAGTAGCCGTTTACAGATAATATATAATTACCTAATTTTCCACATCCTCTCCTTTCTTTCATGTGAAAAATTGACATACTTTTCAATATATGACTATGGATTGTTCCTCATCCTTTTAAATCATTTGAGAATTTTACCTGTCAAATAAAATACCTTTTGGTTAAAAATTTGAAGATATCAGCAAGAAAAATATATCTACATATATACTCTCATTTGTTTATTTTTCTGCTTGCCTTTCTTTAAATGAAGAAAATTCTTATTCTTATTCAAATTTCCTTCAGTTTTGCTGCAGCTATACAAGATTTGACTCCACATTTCTCAAGCGAACCGACTCTTAAGGCCCTGAAGTCTGTTAAGACTGGGATGAAGCTAGCTAACGCCATAAGTGACATCTCAAAGAATGGGTCTCTGTCAAACCTGATGAGTGAGTGATACGTAATCTTAAAAATACAGATGAAGACGCTAAATGGGTGGAAAGACATTGGAAAAGTGTTGATAAAGTTAAAAAAAAAACTTACACTGTTCATGAGAGGACATCTTTATGAGTAGAAAAATACATCTATCTATGGAATCAATATTCAAAAAGATCCAATTTTTGATGGTATCTTGGATAACCTGTCCATGAACTTACAATCATAAAATTACTATAGCAATACTTGATTTTTATAGCCAGAAAATTGTTTACTTTTTTTAAAACATCCCAAGGATAGGTTTGATAATGTCTGAAATTCCACAAATTAGAGAATGAAAATGGAAATTAAACCATATCAATATATTTTTACTGTATTAATGCTTTACTTTTCCCTTTTCATAGTAGTTTAAAATACTTTCGAGTCGCTAACTATAGCTAGTGGTACATGTATGAAATGATAAATATAGAGTGTATAGATGAACTTAAAAGTTTGATTAATTTTTGCACATCAGCAAGAATCATGAACTGTTGTTAAGGGCTGAAAATCTTGCTTCAAAGATAATTTTAAAAGTTTTTTTTTCAAATATGAAGCGACGGTTTCCTTTGTAATCAAAAAAAGAAAACACACTATACTGTATACATACTATTAACCTGGATTAATTTATTGACAATTTGCAAAATTGTTTACTTTGCAGACGACACCAGTTTCCAGCTGAAGAAATTTTTTCGAGACCCTGACAAGATGAAGGACATATTTGTCAATGACCTTGGGGTGATGACCAGTGACGTAGCTGACGCACTGCTCAACGCGGAACTCAATATTCCAGAGGTATCAATCGTCTGCAAGATCAGACTCATTCATGACTAACTTTATCCTGGATACAAAAAAAAGTACCGATTAATTAATTTGTCCAACAGGTGGTAAAACAGTATAGTGGGTGTGTGAACAAACCATTTCGTGAGTGTTAGCGGTTTTCACTTGACCGTAACAGATGAGACTACTCGAACACGATTTCACATTCTTTCTCCGTCGATTGCTTCCGGTGTCGTTCTAAGTAAATTTCCGGGTAGGGATTACGTCAAATAGCCTTTTACTGACGAACGCATTTTCGGGGTAATTAAAGGAAACTCTTACATCATGTCTCTGACCTATCATTCTGATATCAATATTATTAATTTATTACTTTAATTATTCATTCTTTATAAGGAATAATTATGATTTTTCTTGGTTTTTAAATACAAGAGGACTAAGAGGACAACATAAATAAACTTTGTTGACAAAGTTGTATTTTCTTGTTTCATTTTATTCATACGCAACACGTAACGTTCACTGTCCCTCAGTGGAGTTTTGAAAATAACTTGTGTTTCATATTCTATAGTAATCAGTCAATTTTGAAATAAATTCCAAATTCTGTTTTGGATTCACCTTAGCCTGGAGTATGACATGTCTCATCAGCTTATTGATTCTTGATTCGTTGTCCAGTAAATTGGGTTTTTATGAATACTAAAACTGAGATGGGGGTTAATTGGTCATAAACATACATTTAAAATCATCACCGGTAGAACTTTTTGGTACAATGGAACCTCTTTTTTCCTGAAATGGAATTTTTACGGATATATATACAGTTGTATTTCACAATTTTACAAGTTTATTTATCTATATCCTTCTAACGATATTACCTTTGTGGTTACTTCTTTAGGTCCTTCACAATATTGGTTCTATAGACTTCCGGGACATTGTCTGTGATCAGGACAGGCTGATGGAATACATGATGTTCCGGATAGAGGCCAACGTGACGTCAGTGTCCAGATCGCTTTGTGCTATCCCCGAGAGCAGGATCCCAGAGATCACTAATGTGGTACAGAACCAGATAGACGTGGCCGCCATTATCAGAGTGGTGAGTACCATTAGCCATCTGAACCGGAAGTACTTAGTATAAGCTGTGTATAGAATAAATACATCTTTAAAGGAATAATTTTCTTGTCCTATACTGAATCAACTCAAAACCCAGCTACTGAGATTATTTCATTTTACAAAAAAAAAAAAGAAAAAAAGAAAATACGTAACATGAAAAAAAATATAACTTTATATTTCATCATTAAAACTGTTTTCATGTTACTAGTATTTATGATATGCCATTAGAACTTCAATTATCCTCATTTTACACTTGCTTCAGTCTAAAACACTGACCGCCCTGACGATGGATTATACGCTGACGGACGCGCTAGAAGACATCGCCACCATGACAGACCTCTTGTACGGAACCTCCAACTTCATGAGCATCATCCGGGACCTTCCAGACCTCAAGGATCTCCCCGATATCATGCACAAAATCCCGGGGCTGGTGGAGTCTGTCATCAGACTCGGAGTCACTGATCTCTCCTGGTTAACAATTTAAAATTATTTTGTTAAAAACATTTTTTTAGGATTTGGTCTAATGGGCAAATAAAGAATATACTTTGTGATGAATGTTGATCTTCAAAAAAATTGTTTGTCTTCTCCCGACCAAGTGCCAAAGAAAAATGGTGATACTCAAAACTTAACCTCCAGGAAACGATATTTTTATTTCTGGATTTTGTCTTCCTATCAATAATGTTCTTTTTTTTTAATTTTCTAGGGGAAAAAATTCCTCACCTACCTACTAGCCCAATATTTTTACCCTAAGTCGGGAAAGGGCAAGCAAACATTATTTTTTTTTTTAGATGGCCTTATATTGCCTAAGGTCTCTGGCATCAATTTTCTGTAATACGTATTCTTGCAGGATGACTGATCTAGTTAAGTTTCTGGATCCAATCATTGATCGTATAGACCCTGACAATGTGGGGTGGAACGTCACTAAAGAAATAGTCGGGGTAGTCTTAGACGTCTCAAGTATAGCAAACGGAAGTACGTACATTCCATGGCTGTGGTTGTTTTTCCTCTTTTCGTGCACTTCTAAATACAGAATAAAATATACATGTATTGACAAATAAAAACATAATAAATGGTACTTTATCGTTTTACCTTTATACTTGGCATCATCAAAAATGGACTTGACTTTTCCAGAGGCTATTAACATGACGGACTTGGTTGGGAAACAGAAGGAAGTGATGGAAATGTTAGAGTCAAGAAACATGAGCTTGGATTGGTTGTCCACGGTACCTAACGTCAACCTTGACAACGCTGTAAACGCCATGTCTGCTCTGTTCAGTGGCAATCTTACAGGGCTTAACGAAACGTAAATCACTATGAGTATAGAATAAATCCATGCAATGAAATCTATCTTTTGTTTTTTATAATATACACGAGAATTATTTTATCAAGTGAGTGAAATGTACTAACACTGTCATTTTGTTTAGAACTATCCTGCATGGTATGAACGAGCTCCAGAATTTCACCGAGATGATCATCGGAAACAACAGTCAATTCATCATGGACTCTATTGATGGCACCATGGATATCCTGGCCACGGTCATGGACGTCATGCTTGGTATCGGACTTTTTCACTTGTTTTCTTCTTAATGATCTTTTAACGATTAATTCTCGGAAGTAAAAAAAAATTGAATGCACTTTGGTTTCTCGAACAAAGGAAACGAATGGTACAAATATGTGTATTCAGTATAAACATGCTTTTCTTTTCAGAGCTGGAAAAGAGTTTGAATTCAACCTTTGTGTACAATCAAGATATAATGGATGCCTTTACAACATTGATTACTAACGGTCCAAACTTGACAAAGTCTGTGGTTATGGAGTTCATAGAACCACATAATTTACTGGTATTGTCCTTTTTACTAGACACCAGTGTTAAAAACTGTGACGACTTACAATTTAAGAAAAAATAAAAATCCTATGCTGAAAATAATAAAGCTTCTGTTTCATGTCACTTATATTTCTTCTTGAGACATACCCAGATAAAATGATTTTTTTTAATTCCGTTTTTTTTTCTCATTTGTTTTTTTTTCAGGCCATAGTAAACAACACCAAGGACTATCCTGCTATTTGTAAACAGATCGTGGAGAAAATCATGTCTTCCGAAAAGAGCCATGCCCACATCTCCAAACTGGAAAACAGTCTATGTAGTCACAAAATTGCCAAAAGCATTGAGACCAATATACAGCTGTGGGAGGAAGTGTTTAATAAACAGGTGCGCGGTAGCAGGTTTAAATGTACGGAAGCATATTAGGGCCGCAGCAGTATTTTTTTTTATTTGTTATAACAAATTATTAATTTGTTATATCAACTAACCACCCTCTGTGCCACTAGTTAGACTATGCCATATATTTCCATGAAAAAAAGGCAGTTCATGGAGATATTTCCAATTTCCTTGACAATTTAACAACATCTTGTTCTCTGATTTCTTCAGTTCATTAATGTTGTTTACAATTCAGATCCAGCCTATGATAGACAATGTTGTAAACGGAACCGTTAGACGTGTGGAAATGGCCACGATCTACCAAAAGGCCAAAGCCCTGGTCTCAGGAGTAGAGGAACTGTACGGAAGGGGCAGTGTATGGGAATCTATGATCCGGAGAATGGGTTTTCCAACCATCAATCCCATGGCCGAGGAATGGCAGACATTCTTCAGAGACACACAAACATATCTCATCCAGGGAAGGTACACCCCCCTCTTTTTTCTTTACATGGCGCATTATCCGGACTAGTTCTATGCCAAATATGTAATTTATTGCAATTTTATCAAATATTTGATGGTAAAGCACATTCTCTTTTACTGCAGTTGGCCAGTGGTAGTTGTCAAGACTGGACAGTACCTAGAGAACTCACCGATGTGGAACACTATTGGTCCAATTGTAAAATCCATCAGTTTAGTCATGCAAGACCAGGTGGACAAAAATAGGAAATTGGAAGGTATAATATAGATAAACAGTTTTAACTAAAGATTTTGCTTTGTTTCTGTTGATTTTTTTCAAAATCACTTAAAGAAGTTTACTTTCCCATTGTCCATTTCAGAACTAACTCGTGAAAACTCAACCATGATGACCCTGATGAAGTTTGTGGTAAACTATTCTCCTGAAATTGCAACGGCGTCCATGAAAATGATGCAGAATGCTACTATGGTATTTTTTTAATATAATATGCATATAATGCTGTATTGAGGCATGAGACACAGCAATATTATTTTCACTAATCTTATCTTTATCAAAAAACAGTTAATTACAAAAATCGACTTTATTTGTAGATCCAGACTATAGCCAAACAAGGTTTTACGTTGGAATCTTTTTGTGACAATCACATGCTGCAAGAAATGGGTATGCCTAGCTATGTACCTGTGGATACTGTAGAAAACAAAATATGTACCACTAACTGGACGGCCATGATGACTAAGGTGGTCTCTATTGTGGACACAAGCTCAATGAGTGCAGAGGTGTGTGGAGGGGTCAACATTTTGAGGGAAATTTATCAGAATTCGCACTGTTTTTGTTAAAATATGATTTTGGTGCCAATAATAATATTTTTTGTTGGTGGTGGTGCAAATAATACTGATTACAATGCGGTTATTGAATCATTTCAGTTGTCAAAAAAATTTAATCCTATACCTGAGGGTTTTCTACATTTACTCAACTGCAATTCAGTAGATGTATTTTGGAAGGGGGCACACTTTTCCGTGAATAATCTTTAACTGTTAATTTACGTCCTTTTTATCAAAATGTTTACAGACACTTATTTGGTTTAATTCTCAATTACCTATTTCTGAACCCCCCCCCCCCCCCTTCCACACTTTTTTTGAAAAACACAAATTCCTGGAGATGCACAATTTTTTTTTCTGATTTAAAAAAAATGGCAGAGGTTTAAAGAATGATGACCAAATTATTCCTACTGTGACTGTCACAACGTATCAAAAACCAAGTACAAGTGTTTTATGGCCGTGGGAACCGGGGGGGGGGGGGCACCGTCATAATTTTGCCAATATATAGAATACTATAGAAAATATAGCTACCATAATATTATTGTGTCCCTCAATATAAACGTATGATAACCTTGTTTTGGCTTGTCAAGGAATTATGAAGTTTTTGGTAGTGTCCCCAAACTGAAATAAATGGCGTTTCCTCAGACCAGACTTTAGAAAATTCATGGGAAAGAAATTGAAAGAAAAAAAATCTGTAATTAAATACAGACTCAGATTTCCACATAATCATTACCTGTAGAACTTTTGGTTTCTTATATTTATTTCATAGAAATTTTGCCGAAAAAAATTAAACCGAACCAGGCTTTAGGCCTATATGGATCGGGTTTGAAATTCCGATTTTGCGGGTAATGTAAAAATCGTTTGGACTGAGTTTGAGAGAAGGTGTTTGAAGATCCTGATGGCGATGCTTTCGAAATTTAATTGTTGTCAGATTTTGTTATTTATAAATGAAAGTTTATGTTGGAAGGGGGTTGGATAGATTGACTGATGAAAAGGTAAGGGTTGAAGGCGGTTCACGGTTGCTATCGAAAATATATTCGGGTGATAAACAGTTCCAGGAAAATCACAATATTTAGCTATATAGCTTAATTTACCTATATAGCTTTATTTATCTATATAATGTAGCTTTATTTAGCTATTTCAGAATAAATTTCTGCTTTATGAAAAGCAGACAAAAAGTTGCATACTGAGGTAGTATTAGTTTTCAACTTTAAAATGGACTGAAAACAATTCACCAAAAATCCACTTCTAAAATGTTTCTCCTTTTGTGCAATTGCGATCAAAGATCTAAAAGTTCTGGGGCTATGTATAACAGTTAAGCTGTGATTAAGCAGCTACTTTAACAAAGAAAAGCAGATTTGGTCAACAAGATAATTGATTGGTAATAATTCAGCAAAAAGCAAGACAATCACACTAAGTCATGCCTCATCATGATCATTGCACACTCCCAGTGAGGGACAGCTATCCAAACAATAGAGATGCATTTTTTGGGTAAAAAGTGTTTAAAAAAAATTCATGAGGCAATGTTTTTACTATATACTATGCCCTAGGTTGTTTTTATCAAACCTTTTTTAAAAGATACCAGCCACAATTTTCATGCGACTTTTTGTCTGCTTTTCATAAAACAGAAAAGGGTTATATCCTAAAATAGCTAAATAAAGCTATATTATATAGGTAAATAAAGCTATATAGGTAATTCAAGATATATAGCTAAATATAGTGAGTTTCCTGGACCTGATAAACTGATCATGATATTCTACCTGCAGAATAGCTGCAGAACTGTAGCTCTCCGAAAAAATATATCCGGCCTGTAGTGTAAATATATATTTTTTTTTTGGAGAGCTACAGTTCTGCAGCTAAGCCGTCTCTACAGGAGATAAACTCGCTTGATTTGAATTAATTTTCTGTAACCCAACAGACATTGGAACACAATGTAAAATTATTTCAAAGTGAAAGAATCCATGGAGTACTATACTGGACATAAATGAATGTTCAATGAACAGGTGAAGATACCTTTTGATTTATAATTTGATTTCTTTGAAACATGCATTTAATGATTTTTTTTTCAATGCTGATTAGCTGATTTTATGTAGGATGCCCATATATATGAATTGATTTTTGTTAAAATCTTATATAATGGCTTAAATACAAACTAAAACAGGATCCAGGAAGGGGAAAGGAATGTAATTACACATACCTTTACAAATTCAGATTACAAGGTATATGACCGACAAGAGCACCAGCACCAATGTAGATTGGGATCAGATGGTATATAATATACAGAGTATGGTGTCAATGGAGCAGAACTCGGTGTCATACATGATTGAATCCATGATGTCCTTCAACTTCAGTAAACTTAGTGAAACTGTGGATGTGATGTTGAAGCAAATAACAGAGCCAACGATGATGTCCAACGTGGCATCAAACATGAGCATGATGAGTGTTCAGAATCTTATGAGGTATAACCAATATGTAGACTTTAAAACTGTAAATTTTACACCAGATTACATTTATGGTGTAATTTACTTTCATGTTTATACTTTTAGCATACATTTTAATATTTTTCTTCAAAATAAAATTATGTATTTCATTTGAATATTGTTTAAAGTAAAGTTATTTTGCAGTCTGGGTGCTGGTTTTGTGCCAACTCTGCAACAGCTAGATGTACAACTAGAAAATGTGACAGAGTGGAAAATGGTGAAGTACTATATTAATGTGTGGAACAGTATCTCAAAAATGGCACTGGAATTCCTTCAAGGTCAGGCAAAGATTTGCAAATGTTTACAATGATCATTTATAAATTTTAAATAAATGTCATTAATCTCATTATTTGAAAGAAAAAAAGAAGTATATGTACATTGTGCAGAAGAAAAATTCCACTACTTTACATTTTAATTCTGAAGCTCTGCTTTTTTTAAACAGATTCCATGTCAGACCTTGACAAATACCTTATGGATTTATCTCCCACTTTTGCGGACTTTTTGAACACTGTGAACAGTTCCGCTCCATCACTATTTAAAGCATTGGAGAAGGCCACTCTTCACCCTGGTGTGGTGAGTAAAGAGACAAAACTGATTTAGACAATTTCTACATTCCTACAAATTTTACAACACCAGTAATTTCTATTTAAAAGATACTGCTGTGAAATAAATATGATGTTGAGATTTTGTTTTATTTTGGTTTTCACTTTGTCTCACAATTGCTCGATAATAACTTTTTCCAACACCACTGCTTACACTTGTCATTTTCTTTCTTCTTGAATTCTCCAATGACTTATATATATTTTATTTATATAGCTGTTACAGAAGTTGCTGACTACGGACCTGGCGGAGGTCTGTCATGGCGTGAGGGTCTGGGATCTCCTGGACAGCCCCGCCCTGGCGCCGTACGAGACTCACCTGTGTCAGGTAGACTGGACTCAGGTGTACAGGGAGGTCCTGGACAACACTGGGCTGTCTGCCATCTTTAACGATACTGTAAGTTATGCTCACATCAGTTATGTAGCTCTGTAAAAACATTTTCCTGGAAAGTTAAGTTCTCTTAATGCAGTCTGATAGCTAGGACTCTGTTAATACATTATAGCACGAGTTCCGTCCTATCAATTTTACTGAACTTTTTAGTAAATCAAAAAAATATGTGATACCTATAATAGGTATTACGTATCATTTTAATTTACAGAAAATTTTGGGAAAACTGCTAGATAGATTGATTATAGAAAGTGTTATTGTTAGAAGTGTTAAAGATGTTTGTTATAGCCTTTCTTTAGAAAATAGATTGGTATTTGTGTAAACTTTGTGAGGGTTTGAACTATTTCGTAAGATTTTTTTTCTCTTGATAAAGAATGGTATTTTTGTTAATAGATGGAAACTGCAATTCATGAAAAAGTGTATGTCAACTGGAATGAGACATACTATCACACAGAGCGGCTGTTTGAAGAAGTCTGGAGAGTTCTCTCTCATCCTTCAGACTTAACGTCCACCCTAGATAAATTCTACAATATACAGCTGGGGAAAACTAACATGACGTGGGAAAGTCTTCTGTCCTTGTATAATACAACACAACACATGGATTTGACAAAGTAAGAGAAGAGAAGAACTGAAAAATTTTAAGATAGAGTTAGATTTTTTTTATTGAAATATGTATGAAATTATTAATTTGCAATTCATCATTAGAAAACATATTCATGATGTCAGATAATATTTGCAGTAGAGTTTATTTATTTCATAAAATAATGTAACAAACATATACAATAGTTATCACTGGTTCACATACATTTAAAAAAAGAAAAAGATGGTTTACAACTAAAAAGACTTTTTTTATATAACAATTTTTGTGCAATAAATTTGATATTTTGTGTGATTTTAAGCCTTCTATGTATTTCTTTGTACAGTACATAGACTAATTTATTGATCTCAAAATTCCAAATGCTTTTGTTGATAATCCATTGTAGGCTTGCAGAATTGGCAAACCAAATTCCAGCAGTTTTAGAAATGTTAAACAAGCTCACTGGAAATTCCTCTTCTATTTCTTCCTTACTTGGCATGCAGTCCCAGTTTCTCTACCAAACTTACTCCATCCAGCAGTTTATTATCAACCAACTACAGTTTTTTAATGGTATGAATGACTACTGTTAAAGAAATGCTTAAATTTGTTATGTTTAATATGCATAAAGATAAGATATCTATACAGTTTATATATGAATAGCATTTTTGGCTTTCTCTAGCTTTGTTGTTTTGATACCTGGGAATTCATTCATCTTGGAATATGTCTTCAACTGAAACCCCACTTAATAGTGTTGACATATTTTTAAATACCATACACATGTATCTTTAATTTTGATCCTCTTTCTATTTAGACACTACCCATGTGACTCTGTCTGTGTATCTGAACTCCCCTGAGCTGGACCGACTGTTTAACCAGCTGTCTGATTCCCCAGCAATGAGCGGGGTCCTGTATAGGATTATTGTCAACGTTGTGTTTGATCCCTCAAAGGTAAGTGTTATGTACTCATGCATCAAATTTGGATAAACTGTTGTATGAATTTTAGTTAAGTCAAACTCCAACAAGTGACACTTGATAAAGTAAAGGAAAAAAAGATAGCTGAACATTCAAGATACTTGCATTAAAATACAGAAAAGAGTGTCTGGGACTTTTACATCACTCAACAAATCCATTGTATTCAAATATTTGTTTGAGATCCATAGTATTAAAAAAAATATTTGAGATATCAAAATACAAAAATGTATTTCATATGATTTAAAATGATTATTTCTAAGATGACAAACCTGACTAAGTCCGCAGACAGGTTCTGTGTTGACTCTGGATTTCTGACTCCGTTTGTGTCGCCCAGTGACATCCAGTCTGCGGAGAAGTTAAGGAACGACATGTGTGACACCATTAACATGAACGTAACGGCTTTATTACACGAGCTGTCACAAACACATGGCTTTAATCAATTAATGGAATCTTTACAGGTAAATTGTCAAAATTCATGTAAAATATCAAATTCTCTGTAAGCAAGAGTCCTTGTTTTTAGAATATTTGAAATCATGATTAAATCAGTTGTTTTTACGAAAATTCTTAATTCCATTTTTGAGAATGCTTGTTGAAATTTATATAATTCTTTGCATTGCAGAAGACTGATAACTTTCCAGCTATCAACATGAGTTCAATCACAGAACAATCTGAGAAACTAACCAAGTTGATTACGGACCTAATTACGCACCCTCCCACCATCAGCCTGACTGATAACGAGGCCTGGTTAAACGGAACTCTCTACACACAGGAGTTTACAGACTTCCTACAGAGACTCACCGACAAAACGACCACCACAGATATCATACAGAATGGACAGTATGTATCACATTCTTAATGAAGCACGCTATTCTATGAAACAAGTTTATCGACAATCCTGTTCCATGAGAGTCACAATAAAGTCAGATATGTACACACATTACTGAAAGGAAAAAAATGGCGTATACATTTTGTTGACTTTATAATCCAACTCTTTAAAGATGTATACACGACATTGACATGTACAGATGAGGATGTATATTTTGATGCTATTTTACAGGTTGGCAGAACTCTCCAATCTGATCCCAGCTATATTTGAGATGATCAATAAAATGACTGGAAATTCCTCTGAATTTTATTCCTTAATTGCCATGCAATCACAGTTAACCTACCAGACTTATTCCATCAATAAGTTCATCATTAAACAACTGCGGTATTTTAATGGTACTTAATATTAAATTTCTCAATAGCTTGAATTGGTTTGATTTGCACATCTTAATGTCTCATTTTGGAATATTCGGATTGTACTTCTTTCAAGGAGATATATTCTTTTATTCACTTCAATGATTTTGTTTTCAGATTCCACACATGTCACATTAACCACTTATTTTAGTTCCCCGGAACTGACCCGATTATTGAATCAGATCTCAGACTCGCCAGAAATGAGTGGAGTGTTGTTCAGAACACTGGTCAACATCATGTATGATGCACAGAAGGTGAGAAAACAAGATGTTTGTACATTTAACTAGGTTAGTTACTACTCATTACCAATAAACCTATAATCAAACTTTTGGTATAATCAGAAATAGCAGCTTGTAGTGTAAAAACAGGTAAAGTGACCCTAAATTTGGACACTTTGTTACTGTAAACCTTGGCACATTTTACAGAAATTATTGACTGCATGCAATACTTAAATGTCTGTTTATTTTATATTCTCTCAGACACAATACCTTACAAACAACGCAGAGAAGTTCTGTACGGAGGCCGGTGTATTAACTCCAGTGGTGGATCCAAGTGATGTTCAGAAAGCCGAGAAGCTGCGTAATTACGTGTGTGATACCCTGAACATGAATGTCTCGGCGCTCTGGCAGCAGCTCTCAGAAGGTCATGGAATTTCACAGCTTATAGAGGCACTAGAGGTAGATGTTGTCTATTTTGTGTAAAATAAATAGCCGAATTGTTTTAATACATTTTGCATTAGAGCACAAAAGGCTAACAGCCAGTGCTTGAACGCCATCATTTAATATTACCAAGAATGTCATATCACTAGCTAAATTTTGTCAATATAGCAATGGTTTGAAATAAATATTAAATGACACATCATACATATACTAGATGTATTTTTATATTGTTTCAATATAACAAAATAAAATGATTTATTATTGTATAATTGTAGAAGACTGATGGTTTCCCGTCTATCAATATGAGTTTAATCACTGAGCAGTCGATTGAGATGTCCAAGTTGATTACTGACCTAATAATGCACCCTCCCACCATCAGCCTGACTGATAACGAGGCCTGGTTAAACGGAACTCTCTACACACAGGAGTTTACAGACTTCCTACAGAGACTCACCGACAAAACGACCACTACAGATATCATACAGAATGGACAGTATGTACCGCACTGTAATGGATTATGATATTCTATGAAACAAATTGTTAATTAGAAAATCTGCTCCAAAAGGGCAGGCATTCACAATTACTTTTACATTAATTTATTATGTATTACACGAATTACATTATAGAAAAGTAAAATGTCCTAAAGGAGTATGTATTTTGTTTATTTTATAATCTGACTCTTTATATAGATCTGAAGTATATTTTTATGCTATTTACAGGTTGGCAGAACTATCTAATATGATACCAGCTGTACTAGAGATGATTAATAAGATGACTGGAAATACCTCCGAATTTTCTTCCTTAATTGCCATGCAGTCACAATTAACCTTCCAGACTTATTCCATTAATAAGTTTATTATTAAACAACTGCAATATTTTAATGGTACCTAATTTAGATTTCTCATATCTTAAATGGTTTGATTTGCAATCTAAATGTTTCATTTTAGAATTTTTGGGTTGTGATACATCAGACAAATATTCTTTTTATCAATTCCCTGATTTTGTTTATAGATTCCACACATATCACACTTACCACCTATTTAAGTTCCCCGGAACTGACCCGATTATTGAACCAGATCTCGGACTCACCAGAAATGAGTGGAGTGTTGTTCAGAACTCTGGTCAACATCATGTATGATGCACAGAAGGTGAGAAAAGGAGATGCTTGTTCATTTAACTAAAGGTCTGATCTTCGTCAGATTTTGAAGTATATTTGATCTGCTTTTGCAAAAAACATTGTGATCGATTTCTCATTTATTCCTTTATAAAAATACAGTGTTTTAAAAATAGATAATAGTAATTTGCATATTTTGATCAGTGTATGCAAGGAATGAGGGATTAGTCACTACTCATTACTGATTAACTTGTAATTGAACTTTGAATACCATCAGATATAGCAGCCTGTAGTGTGAAAACAGTTATAAAGGCCTTTATTATGAACATTATGTAACTGAATGCATAATAGACATTTTTTAGTGCATGCAATACTTATGAATGCTTTTCATTTTGGATTTTTGCAGACACAATACCTTACAAACAATGCAGAGAAGTTCTGTTCTGAGGCCGGTATATTAACTCCAGTGGTGGATCCAAGTGATGTCCAGAAAGCTGAGAAACTGCGTAATTACGTGTGTGATACCCTGAACATGAATGTCTCAGCACTTTGGCAGCAGCTCTCAGAAGGCCACGGAATACCACAGCTTATAGAGGCACTAGAGGTATGTATAGCTTATTTAGAGAATGAGTTATCAAAGGGAATTGTTTTAATAAAATTTGTAGTCAAAAATGAAAGGCAAACGGCCCAACTTGAGCGCCACAAGTAAATATTAAGATTGGTAGATCACTGGCTAAATTATATGTATATCAATATCATACTTGTTTCACTAAAATATGAAATGAAACATCATACATATAATAGATATATTTTCATTTCGTTATAAAAGAACAAAATTAAACAATTTATTATTGTATAATTGTAGAAGACTGATGGTTTCCCGTCTATCAATATGAGTGTAATCACAGAGCAGTCTATGGAGATGTCCAAGTTGATTACGGACCTAATAAGCCACCCTCCCACCATCAGCCTGACGGATAACGAGGCCTGGTTAAACGGAACTCTCTACACACAGGAGTTTACAGACTTCCTACAGAGACTCACTGACAAAACAACCACCACAGATATCATACAGTACGTCTAAAGCATTGATTCTGAAATTTAGAGTATGGCTAATTTAGATTTGATACGTCTTGCCATTGGTTCTCTACTTTTGTAGAAGTTTGATGACAGCTTCCTACCAGAAGCCAATAATCGACGCCATTACTGCACCCCTGGCTAACGTGACAGAGTTCCAGACCATTGTACAGGTCACAGACTGGTTCCTGACAGAACTCAAAGACAAGATACTGACCGGAAGTTCTGGTTAGTCCACAATGTACAAGCTTATCTGTATAAGATACAACCAGGAAGTGTAACTTGAATGCTTCAGAGCTTTTGATTGCCTAGTAGACCCTCAAGATGTGGTTATTCCGGTGAAAAGTTTAAAGAATTTTGGCATTTCCTAGGGAACAATATTTATCGTAGTGATTTCAGGATGTAAAAGAACCCATGCATTTTATTTGATGAATTGAAGTTATTTCTGTTTCAGATGCTATGAAGGATATCATTGCGGAGTTCAAAGGTTATCCACAAATGGAGCGTCTGTTAAATCTTTTAGACCAGCTGCCAAGCTTCTACCAAACCTTGCTCTACAACATTGTCCATCACATGGAGAAGGTACATAGTGAAACAGGATTTTTCAAAAACAGTTGAGTTAAAAAACGTAAGAAAAAGGAAATAGTGTTTTTATCTGTATGTAATTTCTCATGTTTCAGTTGCCTGAGATGTTTACCGCTGTGTCCAAGGGCTGGGCTGGGTTCTGTAATCAAACAGACACACTGATTTATGATGACCCATCACAGACATTTAGTGCCAAAGCCTTCCTTGGAGAACTGTGCCTCTTGGACTTTGATGAAATGATGAATGAAGTTTCAAGATTTCAGGTACACCTGTAAAATTATTTACTGATCTTAATATTGAGTGACATTCTGCCTTATTATTCAAGATTCTTGGAATGTGCTCCTAAGAACACAACTTACATATATATATATAAACTAGTCATAATTAAAGCTAAGTAATATTGATCTTTCTTTTCTATAATGCCACTGTGTTTGTCAGGTGTCCAACAAGTCAGCTGCTTCATCTCTGAATGCCAGTGCTGGATTAGAGGACATTATCCAAAAGGTAGAGGACATCGTCAAAATGATGAACACCTCAGCTGTTGATAATCTGCCCAAATTCATGCAGCTGGAAGTCTGGAACAATGCCTCGTCCACACTGGTCAAATCGCTGACAGATCCTCAGATGATGTCCACGTAAGTAGTGAACGATTACTGTAAACCAACTTTTATTCGCGACAAATTTATTTTGCGATTTACTGAGGGTAAGCTAGTTCGCAACGATTAATATTTGCAATCAAGCATTTGTTAAATCTGTTGTTAATAGACACAGAGACTTTAAGGACTGGTTTATGGCGAGATATGTTCGCCATGACAAGTCTCTTGCTAACCTTGCAAAAATTTCTTGCACGCCAATTTAAGTTGGTTTACAGTATCACAGAAAAGATGATAAAGAAGGATTGATGCTTTAACTTATTAACTTTTTTTTCATACAAGAATAAAGTAAACAAGGTTGAAAATCATTTAAAACTCGGTAGAATCTTCCAAAGTCTCATGTTTTCTATCTTTAACAGTTGGATAAGTGGCGGATTGAGTAGCCTGACCAGTACACTGACCATGATAGATGGAGGTAAACAGTTGCTCCAGGTCTTTGATGCCGCGTTCACTCTCACTAAAGCTGTTTGGACAAGATTCAGTAGTCAGAAAAATGGTAAATCTTGCTTTTTAACCTCTCTCTCTTTTTCTTTTTGTTTCAACAGAGATAATATCTATAGCACTTGACAGTTTTTTCCTGATTTACATGATATAATAATTAATACATTGAACAATGAGATTTTACATTACAGAGTCAGTGTTAGACCTGTTGGAACTGCTGAATGGAGCTGACAACACACAGAAATTATGGAACTTGATACAACAACCAGGTTCTATTGAGGTTCTCATCCACTCGGCCAACACACCACAGGTACGGTAAAAAAAAAAAAGAAAGTGAAAAATTCAAAATTATAGTAAAAGCAGGAAAAATTGAGCTTGAATAAAGTTATTAAAGTAAATTTCAGTTGTAAGATAATACTTCTTTGTTATAATATTCATACTTCAAACAGTTCTCAAAATTGAAGAATTGCATTAAAAAAAGGTGTAATAAGACATGTTTTATGGATACGTTTTGACAAAAATCTGATCCTGAATGTAGAATTTGAGAGATAAATTTAACTGTTTTTTTTATGTACAGTTTAACCAGCTTGTACAGAAGAACCTGACTGAGGCTTTGCTGGATCTGTGTGCTCCCTCCAGAGGGAAGTTTACTCAGATCTTCACAGCCCCCGCGGGGGTGACGGCCAACATAACTGACCTACAGAACAGGCTGTGTGCGGTCAATATCACACAACTGACCACAGAGTGGGAGAACATCATAGATTTACACACCGTAAAACTCATGGTAAGTCAAAAAGCTGGTGGGAGAATATCATAGACTTACACACTGTAAAACTCATGGTACAAGAAAAGGTAGTGTTGGATATCATAGATTTACACATCATAAAACTCATGGTAAGATAGAAAGCTAGTGGGAGAATATCATAGATTTACACACCGTAAAACTCATGGTAAGATAGAAAGCTAGTGGGAGAATATCATAAGACTTACACACTGTAAAACTCATGGTAAGATAAAAAGCTAGTGTTGGATATCATAGATTTACACACCATAACACTCATGGTAAGATAGACTATTCCAAGTTCACAGAAATTTTCTCCAATATGGACCTTTAGATAAAAATTTCCATTATCATTTTTGAAGAGTTATAGAGTATAATTCAGTACCAGGTAATTTTTTTATCCAGGTGGATCCCAGTCACCAGCCGTCCCTGAACTGGACAGAGGTCACCTTGTTCTTTGATGAGATGACCAGGACGATATCGGAGTGGACGGTACACCCACCCCTAGTGACCGGGTATCCTAGCAGATGGTCAAACGAGTCCTACTGGCTTAACTTGTTGATGCAGCAGCCGGCCTCCTCAGGGTCATTGACCAACATAACCACTCAGTAGGTCACCACATACCTAGCAGAAAACCTACAGTAGATCACTTCATTTTTGCAACACCTTATTTTCACAAGATAGGCATTGCCTCTATATAAGTGTAACAAATTTTTCACAAATTGTGGTTATTGCTCTATATAAACTATAGGAATACTAATATATGTGAGAATGATATTTTTGCGAGCACACTGTCTCTCATAAATAGGCTAAAAATTCTCAAATATAAAGTGATTTACAGTTACTTATATACCTAAATATGCATAGAATTATGGTATTTTGATTTAGGAGGATTTCCATTTTAAATGGCTGTGTATAAATTTAATATTTTGCACTTTTATTTCTTCTCTGCAGGTTAAAAAGCATTTTGGATGCCATGTCACCATTCTTGGACCAGGAACCCATCAAAACATACGGTTTGTTTCTGGAAAAATTGCTCAATTTAACCAATCGCGAACTAGATGTGATGGCCGGTGGGAACTTCACAAACTTACAAGATCTGGTTCACTATGTCCCGGCCCTGGAGAAGGTAATGTTAGCACTGAATCTGAGTGAGGACACGGCCGAACAGTTAATGATGTCACCAATTAAAAACCCGTCTGAGCTCGTTAAGATGCTGATCAGTGACCAGCCTCTAGACATGCTTTGTTCTGTTGATTTCTGGCAGAGACTGGTCTACTGGTCCAATAGTACCAGTCCTCTGTCCTCAATGCTGTGTCACCTTAACGAGACTGATGTAATTAAGGTAATTATTGACTCACTCAAGGTATCAGACCTTGTCAAAATTCTGGAAAATGGGACGTCAACCCAGAAACCGAACTGGATGAACATCGTGGATGAAGTCATGCATATGGTGAGATCTGTTGAAGGGTTGATCAGCAATTCTTCCTTCCATCTAAGTTTAGACGGTGCCTTTGACAATGTAATGAAGGCTTACTCCACACAGAATAACGTTGATGATTTCTCTGCCCTGTTTAAAGTATACGGAGAGCTGGCCCTGATGTTCAACAACACAGAGGTTTGGCAGAAGGTGAATGAGTTCTTACAGACGGGGGAGGTACTGATGACCTCAGCAGTCAGGTTCATGGACCGACTGGTCTCTCTAGACCCAAATGATATCACAGGAATGATTCTAGGCCTGATGAAACCATATAAGGTACAGTGACTATATTCCTTCTGGATGTGCATCTGCAAATATAAATTGGCTCTTCTTCCTTGTCTTATTTTGTTTTATTTAATAAATAATCTGTATATTAACTTTACTTCTGATGCATATATATATACTAGTGTTGGCAAATCGGACGATTTTTAGTAACCGGTTACTCGCTTCATCTTCCGATCGAGTACCCGGTTACTCGGATGATTTTTGGTAAAAGTATCAATATCTATTATTTATCTTATTCTTTACTTATCGGTAGTAGTACTGCACAAATACACTGTATAGAGACATTATATTTACAATACACACAAACGATATCGTAAAAGATTTACGAATTTAAAATAAAGAAAATTAATAGGTAAATCGACACACAAAGACAGATGATCACCATTTTACACTTTCATATAATCAAGGAGAATAATTATTTACATACTCCATAATTAATAGGTACAGTGACTATATTCCTGTTCTTTTGTTACTGGGTGTGTAATTATAACGCAGGCCTTCAAAATATGTATACCCAAAGCAATCGAAGCTATCAATTATATAAATTGGCTGATTCTTCTTTGTCTTATGTTTGTTTTATTCAATAAATAATCTGTATATTAACTTTACTTCTGATGCATATATATACTGCTGCTAATAACTGTAACAGTTCTGATTTGACCAAATTTTTATTGGAATTAAAAAAATGAGTAAAGGATTTTCCATAACGGGCTTGTATATTTAGCCTCATTGTTTTAAAGGCCCACTGATGTCAATCACAAAGGCAGCCACACGAGATTTACATGCATATTTTGCCTCCTTAGCGTCATACACAGAGGCAGATGCACACGATGTTTGCATGCATATTAGGGTATCGACCTGCCTAATTACATGAATTTAAATTTCTGCTAACTTTCAATCAGGAAAACAGCTATTCTTTTATGAAAATCTGAATGAAATTAATGAAATCAGAATGTCTTGCAGATATCAGACTTGTTTACAAAGGACATGGATTTGTGGGGCGTGTACAACTTGACCTGTAATGCAACAGCCTGGAGAGAATTGTTTCATTTTGCTCCCACCACCAACATCACAGCTTTGACCAACCTAGCATGCTTTATGAACCAAAAAGAGGCTACCCAGTTTATTACAACTCTATTGATGGTACATGTATTTTCCGTATTTTTAAACAAAATTTATTTTAATTGTACTTTCTAACAATTTTGATACATGAAAGAATGAAATAGTTTGGATTATATGAAGGAGAATTCTTTTCATTCCACAGAGAAATCAGAGTCTCCCTCCGGTTGATATTCAACAATTCTTGAAGACGGTAGAGAAGTTCAACAATAAGTTTGCGATGTTTTTAAATGGTTCCAGCAACATGGCCGAGATCAACATGACGGCATTTCAACGACAGCTCGAGCAGGAATTAGCCATTCTTCCACAAACGACATCCCCCATTATGATGGAGAGGTACGTGTCATACAATCGCCTGCAAGATTATATCATTCTGTCTTGTTGTCAGATATGACAATGCTCATAAATGTCATTTAAATTTGGGGGATAAAGAAATACTGATTCTTAATGCCATATAAGTGGAAATGTTAGAGAGATGCAAATTTAGCGATTTGTCCTTAAAAACTGGTATTTTATTGTTAGCGAGATGTAATTTTAGCGATTTTAAAAAGATCGCTATAGAAGCTATTACAAATAAAGTGCAATTTATTTTTAGTGATATTAAATTTTAGCGATTTTGGCACCCTCGCTAATATTGCTAAAATCAAATCTTCGCTAAAAATTCTTATATGGTACTAGATCCAAGAAATATTTCCATATTTTATTTTTGAAATTAATGTAATGTAAGCTGATTTGAAATATTTCAGCTTGGAGAAATACTTTGCTGCCATGAACTCGTCAGATTGGGGGAAGGTGACAGCAGTAGTGAATGGAATGACATTGTGGCTCAAAATGTTGGCAGCTAAACTTGAAAATATAGCAGGTAGGGTGTTTTGAATCAGCTTTATAAGATTGTTTCAAGAATATATGTTTTGTATTAAAGAGATAATACATGTCTTTAGTGTATTTTATTCGATAATCACATATTTTAAAGAATTTTACATTAAAAATTAATAATCTCAGAATATTCCTAAGAAAGTAAATGTTCATTTTTGTTTTGTTCAGTACTGTTTCTTTCATGGTAGTTTTATAGAGACTAAGAATTATATATATCTTTATTTGAACCTCTACACAGACCAGCCCCTGAGTCTCTCTGTGATCCTGGGAGGAGCCAGTACAGACCCCGCAGTGAAGTTCATACTGAGTAATGAATTCCTCAACAGTATAGGGGATATCAAAGTCAACCCACAAAAGGTAAGAAGTCGCAGGCCAGAACTCGTGTCATTCATCATCCTTCTCTCTATAAAAAATATTCAAAGTGTTACTTCTCATACTTTTTTGTATGATTACAATAAATCTTGGTATCAAATTAGACCAAGTTGTTTTGAGGAGTATTATTTCAAATATGAACAAATATTACTCTTTTTTTATTCACAACGGCAACTTTTTTAAAATCAAAATTGAGGTACAGTGTACAGAATTATGCATATATGTGTTATGTTATCTTCTTATTATTTAAAACTTGGATAATATAGACATTCATTGTTTATCATTGAGTATTATTCTTGTTTTAACAGTTGTCCTCAGCCCTTCAGAATATGACTGACTCGGGACACGTGTGTCAGGCAATCTTACAGTCTCTGTCTACCCCAGCTAACAATGCCACCATGCTCCACCTCCAGAATTTAGTCTGCAGCCTTAACCAGTCCTCTGTACTAGAGGCAGCTATGACCGGCTTCCTGGCCAATCATCAGTTTGCTAAACAAGTAAGTTTCAGGCCAAATTATTTTTTAAGAATAGATGTATTCTTTGTTTATTGTATCAGTTGGGATATTATACAGAGAGAATTCTGACGTCTGATAGCGTTAAGATGTCGACTTTTGTGGTGTTTTATAGGGTTCAGAGGTTACAACTTGTTTACATTAAGGAAATTTTTATATTTTTCTCTGGAAGTTGTTATTGAAAAAGAGTAAATTTTTAATAGCTTGAATTCTTATTTGGAATTTGAAGATAATTCAGTTTGAACGCTTCCTTATAACATCTTTTCATTGTTATTCTTTTTGCACAGTTCCAGGCCGTGATAGATGAATCTAAGAGTGGACAGTTTGCCCTGAACATGAGCGCTTATAGCCAGGCAGCAACAGAATTCAACACAGCCATCCTACGCCTGGTCATGAGAAACTGGACAGGACAGAGTCTGGACAACATCTTCAATATGTCTGCCCTGCTTAATTCTATCCAACGATTAGAACAATCATTCCAGAATGAAATGAATGAAAATCTTCTGAAAATGTTAGTTTTTTCATTCAGTCTTATTTATAAGCCTGCTTTTTTCACATGTAATTTTATTGATTTGATATCATGATATGATTTTAACTGTTTATTATGGAAAAAGTGATAAATGTAGGTCTAAATTATCTATTAGAAATGTTTATACTTTGTGTGTGTGTGTTTTACAGGGCACCAGTCTTGCTGCAGTCAACACTAGGAGCTGTTCCAGATCCAGCGGTCGCTAAAACTGTAATGTCTGTCAACATGTTCTTAAAGTTTGCTAATGATAAACTGAGGTTCTTAAAAGGTAAAAATTGTCAGATACTTGACAACCTTAAAAAATATTACATGTAGATTCAGTATTTTGCTAAACTTAAATTAAAAATTATTAAGGCCCCATATCAAGGTGCTATTTAGTAATAATTTGCATACATAATGTTGAAGATATGCATAGTTTTTCTCTGTCATTTTCATAGGATCTTTGGGAATAAGTAATGTCTTCCAGAACTCCTCTGCTCTGATAGATTACTTCAATGCTGTACAGAAGCTGACAAACAATGGAATTCAAGAAGTCCAGAAAATGAATTTTACACAGGTACATATTAGCAATACTGACTGTGTAATGTCCAGGACAATATTGTGAGCTGTCAATGTGACAGAGTAAAAATTGCATGATAACTACACAATATTATCTGAGTATTATCAGATTCTGCAAATGTATATGAGCAAAATCTTTCACATAATATATTTCTGTAAAAATTTTTCCATCCGGTATCCTTTAGTCTAACAGCCTCATGCGTCCTCCAGGGCACAGAGAGGATATGTAAGTAAACAAGTATTCTTTTGAAGAACATATCCTTCAGTTCACAACTATAGCTGTTTCATTTTTTGTTTTTCAGCTGATAGATTCTTTGATGAACGTTGGCTCCATAGAGAACCACTGCACACATGGGACGATTGGCCCGTACTTTGGATTGACACCTGACTCTCCATGGATCCCCATTCTGTGTGCGGATTACGATCAACTTCTGAGTTCTCTAGATAATCTCACAGATTCTTCTTCCATTTCAAAACAGGTAGGATTCAAATTGATTTTCTAAAGATTTTTGAAAGAGAAAAAAGTGCATTTTGATTAGATACTAATCAAAAATATATGAAAAAATATGCTTGCCCCAGTGTTTGAAAGATTAAATTATGCATTTTAAATTCTTCATGCAAAGATCACTTTTTGTGGTTTGACATTATCGACACAGCTTTTCATTTTGTTGTGTTTTGTGACCTAACTGTTTTCTCCCCTGTGAAGTTGATGGACATTTGGAATGCCAGCAGTACCGTGGTGGTCGACTGGAGCGCCCTCAGTAACAACATGGATACCTTCAGCTCTCTCCTGACAGAACTGGTCAGGACCCCACCCACATTCTCACTGACCGCTCTCCTGGACACCAACCACACCATGAACATCATCTCCCAGTACATCAACAATCCGCAAAGGTAGGGAGGGGGGTTGACTTCCATAAAGCTCAGAATCTGAGATGTTTCTTACTAGAGAATCAGGAATTCCTATTTTCACAAAACAAATAGGCATTTAAAACAAAAAAATATCTGAAAAGTTTTTAACCTCTCTGTTAGATAAAGCTGACACAATTTTGAATATTTTAGAATTGTGGAGTTTATGCTACAAACCAGTATTATGGACAAGCTTCCTCCAATACCAGAGACCTTCAGAGGCATGTTTAATGTCATTACAGAGATGCTGGCATTCTTAAATGGTGAGTACAGTACTACATGCACATCTTTGGAAACATCATACAGTTAAGAAATTAACTGGTTTCAATACTGTTTATTGCATTCTTGTTGTAGATACTCAGAATGTGAAAGGACTGGCAGATATCTTCAAGACTTGGTCTTCACTGAATACGCGATATGAACTGGCCTCCAGTCGCTTCAATAAGCTAGTCATCTTGGTGAGTATTTTGAATCAAATAAATACATATGCAATCTTGGGAACTTTTTAAGCTTACACAATACATGTATCTTTATCAATGAAATTGATGCATTATTGCTCCTATATGTGAATTTTTAACAATTAAGTGAACAATATTGTATGGAGAACTTAAATTTTAATGTGAAGTAATTTATCCTTGTCTCAAAATATTGAGTAATTGATGTGCCTTAAAAGAACTTAAAGATTAACAAATATTGGTGTTTAATATGCTTATGATTTTGTATAATAAGCAGATGATATAACTTATTTCCATTGACACTTTTAACCCATCACTTCAGGCTCTGACAAATCCCATTGCCCGAGAGTGAATTTTAGAGAGAATTTTAAATATGGCACTTGCCCGTGGGCAAGTGTTTTCAATAAATATTTTTTAAAATGTCCCTTAAAATTATTTTGTTGTAAGAGTTATCTTCCTTTGTTTATCACACTTCATATGCGAACCAGTTTAATTGTGTCATCATTTGCAAATTCATTACCAATTTTAAGCCATGAAAGTGACAAATTGGCATTTCAGTTACATTGAGGCTGTGTACTCGTCCATAACAATGTTAGTTGACTCACATTATACCAGGTACAAAGGTACGAAACTAGCAGATATCATGACTATTGTTGAAATATGATTTTACAATTTTACATCTATACAAAAGAAAATATTATTCCACAGGACGTTTTCACAAACTATGTAAGTTTTGTATAATCAGCAAATGATATAACTTATTTCCATTGACACTTTTAACCCATCACTTTGTAATATTCAATAAAGTAATTATTAAATATCTTCATTTTTTAAAGGTGTTCTTTCATGTAAAACTAATTTTTATGTAAAAAATACAAGAATCTTGACATGAGTTCAAAGCCAACATGTTTCACAAATTAATGCATGCATATGAATTAACTCCAGCTCATATCTTTCCAGATCTTGGCTATATACTACACAGAGAGAAGTGTAGAGCTGATCCCAGATCCAGCACCAATAGCCTGGAGTGAGATGCTTAATGAGGTCAAAAAGGTCATGACAGCCTTGACCTCAGGAAATCAGAGGGACTGGGAAACCTTCCTCACCCAACAAACATCGGTCAACGACACCATCCAACAGTAAGATAATCTACACAATGAAATCTTATGTTTTATAGAGGTAAGAGGGGTATCTGATAATGTCATTGCATCATGTCTATTTATAGAATTATGGACTGGTTGAAGTTCTTTGAACAAGAGTTTCACATGGGTATAGGAGAGTTCTTCAATGTGTTTGTGCCAGTCAGTAACATGTTCAACAAGCAAATTGATAGAGTCAAAGGTTTGTATTTTACAAGTTTATATACAGTTTTCATATCCCTTGTCATGGTTTCCTTCTTGCTTTTAGATTTTTTTCATGTTTGTTTCTTTTTTTTCAGGTTTGGGTCACAATATTTCCCTTTCTGCATTCCTACCTGTAAACAACACAGAGCTGGCTAGTTTGATTGGAGATGAAATAAACCACCCCTCAGCTGCTATCCTTGTATCAGCTGTAGTCGCCCCAGATGTGGTATGAAATATGTCATTACCTACCTTGGGATCAAGTTTTTCTTCAAGTCTTATCCTGCGCATTCCTGAGATGTATTTTCCACAAGTGAGGTTGCCATTGAATTACTGTGTCTTTTTTGTAGTTGATGAATCTAATAGGGAATGGCCTTTGGAATGAGACCATGTGTGACCTGACTAAGTTCCAGTCTACTTTCACTTTCCCTGCTGAGACAGATGTGAAGAAGCTTCAGGCTGACCTGTGTAAGGACATGCAGGAACCGGGCTCATTTATCAACAAACTCATGGAGGATTTGAATGTCAAAGACATTGCAAAGGTAACCGGAACATAGAAGTCTCTTAATTTGTGGAAAATCCTTATTGTTTGTTTGTTTTTTAAAAAAAAAATAGCTAAAGCTTTGTTGTGATTACAAGTTTAATAACGTACAAAAATTCCTGTAAAACTTTTACCTTAAAATGCTATTTTATGTATTGTATTCCACCATAATCACATTTCTTTGGTCTCCACTGCCACATACATATCAAGACAGGGTACAAATAAACTATTTTAAAATTAAGCATACTGTATCACCCGGCGCTGTCGTTGTTTATTTTCACGCCCGATTCATTGTTTTTTCATCCTTTTCTTCTAAAACAAGTTTGTCCCGTTTTTTATGCATTTACAATGTCATTAATAAAGATTAATTTGTGGATTAATACATTGGGAGAGATATTATACAGTTTACTGTGAATTCGCCCCGTTTTAAATTTGCCCACTTCCATTGTGTATCCCTAGTGCGATATTAGGGTACTCTGAAAATTTCCCAGTTTCAGCATATTTTAGGTCTGTATACAGTATATAATGTAAAATAAAGTTTTGACATTCCGTGTAAAATTTTAAAATTTCATAGAACTTCTAGAATGAAGTGAAAATTTCCTTTTTCATAGAACAATTGTGTCCCGACACATACCTGAATCCGGTGATTTTTGGATGTCACATAATATCTGTTTTTCATACACATTGCTAGTCGATAACATCATGTATCATTGCTTACAAAACCATTACTAATTTATCAAAAAATAAAATTCAGGGATTCTTTGATCTGATGCTGCCTGGATCAATTGACCAGTGATTTTTGATAACCCCTCATATTGTATTCCACCATTATCACATTTCTTTGGTCTCCACTGCCACATACATATCAAGACAGGGTACAAATAAACTATTTTAAAATTAAGCATACTGTATACAGGGTTATTTTCACCCTCTCACATCTGAAAACAAGTCCTCATGTCTACAAAGTGTAAGATATACAGTTTACTTTGTCCTCATGTCTACTGTGTAAGTATGGTCCTCATGTACACAGTATATAGTAAAATAAAGTTTTGAGTATTTTTTCAGATTACGGATTCTTACACTCCGGTGGACTGGCAAAATGCTGTCATAAAGCTAGTAGGATCCTCATGTCTACAGTGTAAGTATGGTCCTCATGTCTACAGTGTAAATCTGTCCTCATGTCTACAGTGTAAGTATGGTCCTCATGTCTACAGTGTAAATCTGGTCCTCATGTCTACAGTGTAAGTATGGTCCTCATGTCTACAGTGTAAATCTGGTCCTCATGTCTACAGTGTAAATCTGATCCTCATGTCTACAGTGTAAGTATGGTCCTCATGTCTACAGTGTAAATCTGGTCCTCATGTCTACAGTGTAAATCTGATCCTCATGTCTACAGTGTAAGTATGGTCCTCATGTCTACAGTGTAAGTATGGTCCTCATGTTTACAGTGTAAGTATGGTCCTCATGTCTACAGTGTCCTCATGTCTACAGTGTAAGTGTGGTCCTCGTGTCAGCAGTGTAAGTATGGTCTTCATTTCTAGTGTAAGTATGGTCCTCATGTCTACAGTGTAAGTATGGTCCTCATGTCTACAGTGTAAGTATGGTCGTCATGTCTACAGTGTAAGTATGGTCCTCATGTCTACAGTGTAAGTATGGTCCTCATTTCTACAGTGTAAATCTGGTCCTCATGTCTACAGTGTAAGTATGGTCCTCATGTCTACAGTTTAAATCTGGTCCTCATGTCTACAGTGTAAGTATGGTCCTCATTTCTTCAGTGTAAGTATGGTTCTCATTTCTATAGTGTAAGTATGGTCCTCATGTCTACAGTGTAAGTATGGTCCTCGTGTCTACAGTGTAAGTATGGTCGTCATGTCTACAGTGTAAGTATGGTTCAAGAGGACTTCCAGTAATTATTATAGTGAAAGTGACACTTTGCTAAGTATGGTCCAAGAAGATACCCAGTAATTATTGTACTGAGAGTGACACTTTTCAACTAAAACCCCCCAGTTTAACAACAATGACAGACTAATTTTGTTTGTTTTTACAGTGATCTAGAGGGCACCTGTAATAACCTGGTGATGTATGCCTCTGATTCGATGTCCTATAGACGAGAGGTAGAACCGATACTTACAGCTGTCAGAACTAATCTACAGAGTACCAAGATACAGCTACAGCTTCAATTAGGTAAGCTCCTGGTGTTATGACAAGTTTGAAAGGGGGTAAAAAACAGGAACAAGAATTTCCCTCTATACAGTATTTTGTAATCCAGTATGTGTATTTCAATTATGGAGAAATTCTTTAGTTTAAAGCACAGTAGAAGAGCACTGGATTTGTCAGTTACTTTCTAAACCTACCCTCATTTCCATTTTTCTTTTAGAATTGGAAGACTTCATGTGTGATATATCAAGCATGAACATGTCATCTCTACTTCGCAATTTGGAATCGAAGAATATTTCACAACAGATTCAGGAGGTAAACACAAGTCTTAAAATGCCTGATTTTATATAATTGATATATGCCATATAAATCATTTAATTGAAAATCATCTTAGTATTTTTTGAAAGTATGAAGTATTTTTTGAAAGTATGATAATTTCCATGATAATTGCAAACTATTTTCATTTTAAAGGAGTTGACTGTATATTCATTCCATTAACAGATTGTTTTCCTGTTTTACAGTACATTAGTGTGATGACATTACAGAACTCCAGCAGATTTGAATGCCACTCACTGTTCACGACTCTGAAGGAGATCACGGAGTTGTTTGAGAGGATGGTCAATCAGACCTACCTTGATGGTGCCAGGACGATGCAGTGTCTGGAACAAATTACAATGCTACCATCCAAACTATTCTCAGGAGATTTCATGTAGGTTTAGGGGTCCATAAACATCCCTGGTTGGAAGTTTAATGATTATTTGTAGTAGTTACCCCATATCATACTGTTGTGAGATACCCGATGGGCGTGGTCATAATGACACGAACTCCAGCAGTCATTTGACCATGCCACATAATCAACAGTGTGATAGGGGTAAATGACACCATAGTTTTCAAAAATCATTCATATGTAAGTCAGCTTAGAATCGGTCGGACAGCGTGATTGAAACATTAAGTGTTTGGTTTCAAAGATGCATTTGGATTTTATATGATTTTACACTCCTTCGTGTCCTTCTGACCACGTCAATGGAATATAGGGTAAGTGATTTGTATACAATACTTTTCAAATTTTGCTACAAATTTTGCCCTATGCTCAGCACTCAAGGTCATTGAGTAGTGAGGGATGTTCTTCCTGACAAAACCTGCGACACGGAAACTCTGGTTATACTTTATAGGTCTCCACGTCCCACATTGGGATTCAACTCCTTACTTCGTGACTCCAGGGCAGGCGCTTTAACCACTGAGCCACGCAAGCGACATAAAAATTAAACATATCTAGGTCCGTTCAAAAAGTTTGATTTATGTAATTGAAAAACTAACGAGTTTGGTTTCAATGATATATGTTAAATTGATATGATTTTTTTTTTCTCGAAAATTTCAATCGTCAAAATTACATACTAGTAATTTGAATTCATTATGAACTTGGTTTAACATAAATTTTTGTAAACCTGATACAAGCTTTGCCGTGCACAGTGGTACGTTGATTGAAATGTGTATATTTCAATTTAATGAAAATTAGATCTTTGATCGGCTAGATTTGTAATCGAAAAGGTTATTTAAGTACAGTAGTGTACACCTGTTTTTACGTCAAGTATGTTCCGTGTTTCCTTTGTTGGTTATCAAAAGAACGATATATTGGAATCTACTTAGCTAATGTCACCCTGGTCATTACACTATTTAAAAAAAATGTTTAAAAATCAAGCGATTTCTGAAGGGTTTTTTTTCTTTACTCTTAACTAAAGTTAAAGTATTAATGACCGTTTTTAACTGTTATGTATTACAAAATGCTGTATACAATTGAAAATTTTTACTCCTTTTTACTCTCCTAAATTTGGTATAACAAGCCCGTATGATTGTTTCATTTAAAAACCGTGCATGATCGTTTTATAAATAGTTCTTTTGTCCCGACTCGATGGGCGGAGTTATAGAAAAGTGTTGGTTATATACAGAAAACCCACACTTTTAACAAAAGAAATCACACCTAACTATGGTACAAGATCTATCACTCATTCTTGAAATTGTGACCATTATCATAACCATGTTAATTAAAGTTTTGGGTATTGTGTTGCTACTGATATCCATCCATGTACACATACAGCATCTCACAGTCTGATAAGAGTTCCTCCTTTAAGTACAGTTTTAATGGAAGATTTTTTTTTTGGCTGTTTGGCAATGTCAAGGGAACATTCAATAAGGATTTAAGGGGACTCAAAAGGAATTGGCTTAATTTAAACTTTTAAATTTGAACCTTTCTTCATACTAGAATAAAATTTGTATATAAAACAGTCATGTAAGGGTTCAGAAAAATAAAATGACTGAATTCTTCATATGACAAATATGTCTAAGTGATCAGGTTAAAGTCTTTTAGCAAGTATATCACAATGTAGCTTAAATCCTTATGTTGATCAAACTTCATGGTACCACTAATAAGCTGTCAATCATTTAAGCTTGTACTTGTTATATTTTTGATACAGGGAGTCCATTAAATCCATTTCTCGTCTGATGGTGGACGGAATGTCTGTGCTGAATCAGCCATTCATGCAGAACAATGAAGTCCTGAAGATGATTACATCTGTATTCCAGAAACTAGCTACAGAAGATCTAAGTAAGTCAGGATACAGTATTTATATTTTGGGAAGAAAGGCATACAGTGTCATGGGTATATTTTAGGGAAAGCAGAGTGGCCAAACACCCTTTTTTTTGGGAAAGGTTGATAAGTACATGTACATTTAGTAAATACTTCATCAAATTCTTAATGCAGGCATCAAGTATTTTCTACTTGTAAAGATTTCCAAATCATGGACCACTATTTTGTTTTGGATTCTTATATTTTAATATGTTTACTGTAGATCACTTAATTTTCGCGACACCTTATTTTCACGAGATAGTCATTGGTTCTTTATAAGCGAGACAAAATATTCACGAATTGTGGTCATTGATCTCTATAATCTTAAGGAATTCTATTTCTTTTTCGCGAGCATACCGTGCGTTATTACGTATATAAAAAGTGATTTACAGTATTTAACCTGTATGTAATGTGATTTCAGCATCAGCTGGAGTCTTGGTTTCCAATCTTCTGAGTTCAAACTCCACAATGGCTGAGAAGTTACAGGACATCTTAAACCTGGCACCAGAAGCTGCCTCTGTGTTCCTTAATGCTACAATCAAACCAGAATTTGTATGTACACAATGCTCCAGATTGTACTTTCCTTAATTTTTTGTTGCTATATTAAAGAAAAAAGGATGCTCAAGCAATACTTTTCAATTTTAATGTCTGATGTTTAAGGAGTTTTGTTGGTCTTTGAATAATCATTGAGGAAGGTGAATTATTTGTTTTAGATAAGCTTGTTAGTCAACAATTCTGAGGAGGCAGCAGCCATCCTTTGTAACCCTGACAGACTGGAGAAGTATGTAGAACTACCTGGGGAGCTGATGAATTCCGTCCAGAATGTGTCCGCTGTATTGTGTGGTACAGATCCAGGACAGGCCGCAAACACGGCTAAAATTATAGGAGATTTACTGGGAGCTACTGCCAAAATTGTTAATGTAAGTATAGACTGTCATTGCCAAAAGACTGCTACTGTAGAAAAAATTTTATTGAAGTACATTTACAAAATGAATGACTCATATGGGATATCTTCTCTCTTTTTTTCCTATATTTGTACATTGTATCTATATACACCCTGCTCCCTTTCAGACCCAGGACTTTGGTAGTCCCTCCTGGTGGAACCACATTAGTGGAGATATTACAGATATCATTGGGAAGGTTCAGAAGCTGGGCCTCTTTAACCTGACCTCTATTGATTTAGACAGCGTAGACATGAAGACAGTACTACCGTATATACAGGAACTGATCTACAGGAACGGCCCTGATGCTCTGGCAGACAGGTACGATAAATAGGCTATGTTGGATGTACAGACCAATGCATGCTTTATCAAATCTTAAGAGTGTACCAGCGCATCTACATGTATTTGTCCATAGTTCTGAGGTTATAGGTTTTAAAGCAAATATATGATCCTTGAAATGAAATTATGTTCATATATTATACCTGTAGTATCATTACTTTGAAGCTCATTTGAGTGATAATGAATTTCTTTATTTAATAAAATACATATTTTTAATTAACAGTTTGGTGGAGCTTTTGGATGATTTCAAGCCCATTATGAATGACACCTTCATGATAAGTGTGACCTCTGACATTGAGGTCATCATAAGAGGCCTGACCTCTCTGAAGGCCATCAGAAACTTCATACCAAGAACAGGTAATCTTACAGCTATCGTAAAGATTTATTGTGTGATTCCACTACACAATTTTCTCAAATTCAGCCTTGTGCTGTTAAGGTATATTAAGTTTTGAAAGAGGTTACTGGCAAATATTTTCATCATTTCTGATAAGCAGTATTAACATGTGTTAAATTTTTTTTTCCAAATTTCAAGTTTTTGTTTATTTCGTCCTTCTGATACAAGATTGTCTTTTTTCTGTCCAGTGTTAATTAGGACCGTGTTGAAGGACCCCGCCACCTTCCATGACTATCTGACCAACAACCTGACACTGTCAGATGATGACGCCACTGCCATTATAGAGGGGACAATCAACTACGCTTCTGTAGGTATCACTCTGTCAAAGGGGAGAAAACTCAATTTTAACCATGAATTACATGTACAATAGAATTCAGATACAAGGAAGTCATAGGCATTTGACTTCCTTTTTTACCAATATTCTGCATTTCCACGTAAGAAACAAAGTGCAAAGTCTTTTATGGGATTCAAAAAACATCATTTGGTCAACATTTCATTATAAGCAAGTTCTTTATTATAAGAAAAATATACTTTACAATATTTTCTTGTATTTACATGTGCATGATCTTGTACAACTGGATTTGAATCATTTCTAGAGAAATTAAATTAAACATAAGCTAATAAAAAAACATTTCATGTATTATGCTTTTCTCACTTTTCAGCTAATGAGTCTGAGGGTAGAAGATTTTGGAGACTATGTCTGTAATGTTACCAGCCTCGATAAGCTGTTGAATGTGACGTCCACAAAAGTCAGTATTTCTGACGTTAGTAAATCCTTGTGTGGCATTGGAGAGGACAAGGTTGTTTCTTTTGTGGAGAGTATGTTGCAGAACATGGATCTTGGAAAACTTGTGCAACAGGTATGGTATGCGAAAACAAACTGAGGCTTGTTCATGTACTATATCAGGGTGTGGGTTTAAATACCATGTAGATTCAACTTTTCTTCATTTTACTTACTTTTCAAAGGCATAAGGGCATTCACTTAGAACAAAATTATGTTACATGTATAAGTATCTGGTAATTGAATCAGTCAAGAAGTCTCTGAAATCAAGGAAAATTGCCTAAATTATATCAATTCATTTCAATAACTCCTAGCTGCAACAAAATTTTTGAAATTTTCCAATATCATAATCTCATTTCTGAGTATATATTATTAATTTTTCAGTATGTCAGTATGTCTTCTGGTAAGTTCTTGGAGCATGCTCAGTTGACTCCTTCAGAAGTTCAGGATGCAGTGAAGTCCATGAGTGATAGTAGCTCTGAGCTCAATGATCTGGCCAATCTATTTAATAACAAGTCCAGCCAACTTGGTCTCAGCATGGGGACCTTTGATGCTCTTCATGGTATGTGGTTATAGTTCGTTCAAAAAAATTAAAATACTTTATCTGAACTAATAAAGTTTTCATGATTTCAAGAACATTTAAAATTTGGTTAAATTTGGAATGGAATTTTTTTTGACAAAGTAGAAACATTTTTTTGATCTTTATTTAGGTAAAAGTGCTTTCAGTTAAACGTAATCTTTGTCTTAGTTTATACTATGCAACCTTTTCTTTATGTGGCTCTGTATGCTTATTTAGGCTCGGGGCCCTCCTCTGTCTCCTCTCTGTATGACATGATCTGTGGGACGGGGAAGAGCACCGCCATCAAGGACACCACCGGAGTATCCTCCATCTCTGCCAAAACCACCCAATCCCAGCCCACCACCCACCTCACCCCCGACCAGCAGGCAGAACAACAGACACTGCCAGGTAGGTAGTTAGTATGTTTACCACCCAATCCCACCACCCACCTCACCCCCGACCAGCGGGCAGAACAAAAGACGCTGCCAGGTAGGTAGTTACTATATTTATCTCAGCCCCGATCAATAGGCAGAGCAACAGACACTGCCAGTGAATTCTGAGCATGTTTGAAAGAAACAACCTGTATTAAAGATATTTAATGTAATATAATGTTATGAAGCTTAGAGATTTTTATGTCAATATTTTTCTTCTACAAGGTGAGTTCTGTCAGGACATGTATGAGACCATTATCCAGATGAGCCACGGACCGGTGATCTGGTCCTACCTTAAACCCCTCATCATGGGAAAAATCCTCTACTCCCCGGATACCCCCGCCACACGCAGCATGATCGAAAAGGTAAAGGGTGGTACCTAACTGTGAATGTTTACAAGTAGTGTGATTGCTCTTTTGTATGTAGTTTCTTCTAATCTCTATCTACTGTAACTTCTTCAGATGTACAACAGCAGTTTCAAGGTGTTGGCAGAAGTCAAGGATTTAGCAGAGCAATGGTCAAATGGTACCCAGGATTTAGGAGAGTTCTTATCTAACACTGCTGCCATAGCAATGGTTAAGGTAACTGAACTAATCTGTAAACCAATGATTAAAGCAGCCAAACTTATTGTTTGAAAACATGTTTATGTATAAGAAGTAACAAATTTTAATTTGATCAGTTACCAATGTTTCTTTCTTTTTTATAGAGCCTGGACGGTAACAATTTCCTGAACAACCTCCTAGAATCAACTCTGCAGGTGTCCTCATCTGATGTGATGAATGGATTTTACACGCTGGACTCTCTCAGTAGTAACCAGGTCCTCAATATCTCCCAGTTCTTCCGACTCCTTGCCAACTACACCCAGTGTGTTTCCACTGACAGATTCGTACCGATGTCAACTGAGAGACAAATGGAACTCATGGCCATACAGCTTCACCAGAACAATACTTACCTAGCAGGTACTTGACTATATTTCTTGACAGAAACTGTATCTGTATTTTTCTATGGCTCTTTTTTATGTCCAAATAGACAGATTTCCCCAGGTGGTCAAAACTTTGATCATTACATTTAATGTTTTGGAATATTTTAAAGGAATTGCATTTCAAATGGAAACAACAGGAAGAAAGAAAAGACAGACAACTTCAGATTCTATTCCTAAACATGTGATCTACAAAATCAAGATGGACATTGAAAATGTAGAGAGCACAAGAAGACTGAAAGAAAAGTAAGTGATGGGGACAAGAGGAAAAAAAACTGGACCATGTCGTTAATTAATGCTTGGATAAATTACGTATGATGATAAGGAAAGTGTTGGATTTATGATTTTGATTATTATTAACAGATTCTGGAGGCCCTACCCAGAGGACGATATGTTCCTGGAGATGAGATATTTCCGAGGATTTATTCAGCTCCAGGACATGTTAGACCGTGCCATTATAAATCTCCAGACCGGCTCCGATGTCAACAACACAGTGTTCCTACAGCAGTTCCCCACTCCCTGCTATGTTAATGATAAGTAAGAATGATAAGTAGTTTTACAATCAAAGTTTTTCAATATTTTTTATCGGGATAATAAGATTCTCACAAAAATATAGGAGAGAAAGAATCAGTGTAACATACGTAAAGTGTATGAGATATAAATTTCAGTACAAGAACTTTATACATGTATGTAATTCTTGTTATATTTGACAAATTTGATTTCCAATAGATATATGGAGCTGTTGAGTTCATACCTTCTGCCGATCATGATGACTATAGCCTGGCTGGCCGCCATATCAGTCGCGACTAAAAATCTGGTGTACGACAGGGAAAACGGCCAAGAGGAGGTAACTCTGTCTTGAATTCTTTTTTACTCAAATTGTTTCTGTTAAAGAATTGATTATGTAAAGAAAAAAAATAGGAGTTTCTTTCGTTAAAATTTTTGTTTACAAACTACTTTTGACACCTGTACTTTATATTTCAGGCTCTGAAGATAATGGGCCTGAACTCTGTGATGACCTGGTGGGTGTGGTTCCTGTCCACCATGCTGATGATGACCATTATTTCCCTCATTTGTCTCCTGGTACTGAGGGTGGGGGGACTCTTCACCTACACAAACTTCGGCATCATCATCCTCTACTTCCTGGCTTTCTGCTTCTCCAGCACAATGTTGTGGTAAGTTTACTCTCCAGCACAATGTTGTGGTAAGTCTACTCTCCAGCACAATGTTGTGGTAAGTCTACTCTCCAGCACAATGTTGTGGTAAGTTTACTCCCTTAAACTTAATGTGATTAAAGTTCAAGGCAGGTAATTCTGTGTTACATTAATTATGGGTATGTTTTTTAGTGACCTCTTTCAAATTTTGAATACATGTATTTCTTTGTTTTTAATTTCTCTAAATTTAAACAATCCAAACAATACAATATTTTTGACCAACAAAACTCACACTAGCAGCTTTCAGACATCACAGTTTTTGTCACTTTAACGCCTGAACTCATTATAAATCTAAGTGCTAAGATAATACACATTAACATTTTGATTTTTATGTTACAGTTACATGGTGGGTGCGTTCTTCACTCAGGCCACGCTGGCTATCCTGTTTGTGATCATCATCTATCTCCTCTCTTACCTCCCCTACATCGTCCTCATCGCCATGTCGGCTGAGATGGAGTTCTGGCAGCAGATCCTCGCTGTGAGTTATATTTATATTTCATTAAAATAAAGAGTAATAAGAATGTAATTTAAACAGTAAGAGTAGACAAGATTTCAATTCTTTCTTGTTTTTGTACATTCCCTAAAAAAAGGACATGGTTCTATGAATGCCTTTGCATTTCATAAAAGTTTGAAAAAAATTATTCTGAAACAATGTAAACTGGAGCTAAGAAATTTACACTGTAATTATATGTAGAATTGCTCTATTATACAAATGCAGTAAGAAATGAGGGCTTTATTTGTAGTGTCTGTCCTCGACTACGGCGTTCGGGTTCGGATCTCAGTACCTGGCTCACTACGAGATCCAGATGATCGGGATTCACTGGGATAACATGGACTCCAGTCCTATAGAGGGAGATCAGATGAACTTCCATTGGTGCCTGATCATGATGGCCTTAGATGGTGTTATATATCTTCTGATTGGCTGGTACATCAGAGGGGTCAAACCAGGTCAGTTTAGGATCATTTGTATATAACTCATTCTTCAATACTGGTGAATTTTTAAGATGTATTTCTTTTCTCCTTTATTTTCCAATAAATAAAGTGTAAGCAGATAGATTGATATTGATATGATTTGATACTTGTGTAAGGATATAGTATAAATAGTTTTATGGATATGAGTTGAGGAATAAAAAAATTATTGATCATTGTTGTACTGCATTTAGGGGATTTCAGATGCAGAAAATGTGACATAATTTTCGAATAGGCATAAAGATGTTGTTTTATTTAAAAATAAAATCATTTGGCATGATATTTGTGTACATTATCTTAGCATATAAATGAAATAATACATTTATTTTGTCAAACATGCTAAAATTATCTTAATTATTTTTTTCTGAACTTAAAAATTTGTGGTTTATGTTCGTAACGCATGGTGTCCATATGCATTGAACTTTTTAACACCTCTCTACAAACATTAAATGATCTGTCAAGTTCAGTTTCTGTGTTAAATTAATGAGTATGTGTGATAAATTATTTTTAACAATATGCTTCATGAACATAACTCAGTTCTTTTTGTAAATTTAAAATGATCTCTGATTGTAAAATGTTTGGTGTCTTGACCGTTACGAACACAATAGCTTTCAGTATGATTGCTAAAATAACAGCCAATGAATCATAAGTTTGGCTCAAAAAGTCCGTAGCAGTGGTGTAATTATAAATTAAAAACGAAAGTAGAAAGGTTGCGCAGCTGTCTGCTAAAAAACATGGCGATGCTCATTGTGTCCATGTGGAAAAAAAGAAGTTACGAACATAATAGATTCGGTAAGTATTTTCATATATTGTATCAATTTTAGTGAATGTTTAACACATAAATACAGTCACTGTATCTTTATACCATGTAGCTATTAATCAGAAACTGAAATATGTCTCTTATGACCATACAAAATGCATAAATCTGTCCGAGTCGAGAACTTTCGGTTTAACATTTGACTTTTGATTCGCGTCTTTTGTTACGAACATGTGTTTTTGCATTATTTGTATAATCTATTAATGATAAAGTTTTATTGTACTATATTTTATTCTATATTTGTTTGTTTTGTTCTGCTCTTATCAAAGGATGAATACTTATTGAATGTTTGTTTTAATATTGCCATATCATTTACGCAATTACGTTCGTAACAGAGACACGAAAACTTGAAGTAGTGACATAATTTGTACTTTAATTGCCTTCTTTCTGATTTTATCAAAGATATATAATAAATATAATTAAACAGCATATGTGTTGATTACATAATGTTTTATTTTGTTTTATATATATTTTTTTCTTTCAGATTTACAAGAAATGACTGAATTATGTTCGTAACAATGACACAAAGATCCAAGACTCAAAATAGAAGACCTAGGATATTTAGTTATTCATCTGACAATTTACTTGTCTGCATTAATTCTCTTTGAAAGCTTGTCTATTATTAAGGTTTGAAATGGAATATTAAAAGTATTAAAGACAAGTGTTCGATTGTCTTGTTATTTTTTTGTTCCTTTTTAAAGCCTGATTCGGAGTTGGGTGTCCATGTTACTTACATAATTTCTCCTTTTTTGAAACTAGAAATAAAAATTGTGACTTTTTAAATAAATTCCATTTAATATAACATTAAACATGATTTCATCATACCTTATTGATTACATTATTTTCATATTTTAACAACTTGTTAAATTCTAGTAACATGTTACTTGTTTAGTGCTTATGTAAGTAACGGTGTCCATTGGTAGTCTTGGATATATTTTCTAATTGTAATGGAATAAGGCAGAAATAAGTCATGCAATAAAACATGCAAACTAGTGTTTATATACTTCAAAAAGGATTCACCAGAAAAGAATAGCTTATTGTTCTAAAAACAGTCACTGTGGACACCAAGTTACGTACATAAAATTTCAGACATGCTTGTACATTTGGACACCTATCTCCTCTTTAAGACTTCAGATTATCTTCCCTTCAATTTTTTTCAGAAGCAGGAAGGGTACTGACTTAATTAATATACATAAATTATGAAATTGATTATTTTTAAAAAATAACCCTTTGGTCACACTTCTGAACTCAGTACTGAAGAATGAGTTATATATTATTCCCAACTAATTCACTCTTTCGAAGGAAGTGCATAAATGCCTTACCTAAATCTCAGTACTACTGTGTACAGGGTTATTTTTGCCCTTTCACACTTGTAGGCAATTTTGCCTCAATTTAAATTCGTCTGGTCATAGTTTTGTTAAGTAATGATACTGTATTCTTTGAATTTCCCTCTTTTAAATTTGCCAAAATAAAACGGGGGCAGAAATTTCCCTGTATACAGTAATTCTTAGTGATAATCATTCTTGTCAAATGTTTTAGTTGATTATTGTCCCTTTTAAAATTTACACATGAGGGTGTTTTGGTTGCAACTTACTTTTTCAATTTTCCGGTGTCGACTTCCCAATGGGTTCCCACTTGTAATAGTGTATTATTAATTTGAAACAGTCATTGAAACTATTAACTGACTTGAAGGCTTGGAGTAGGCATAGTTAGTCTACCGTCCCTGATGTGAATGGATTTCATAAAAAAAAAAATAGCATGGTTATGACGTCCAAATTGTGTAAATCTAACAAGAAATTAAGATGGGGTAAATTTAAGCAGAACAGTGGGTTAATTAGTTATATTAAAAAAAGAGAAAAAGCGATCATCATCAAACCTTCCAGCATGATAGTATAAGTTATAAGAACAGGGGAAGGGGAAGGTAACTATATTAAACATTTACATGGTTGACAATCAGAGTTGCTAATGGCAACCTGAATTTTTTCATCCACAACCCAAGCATTTTTAAATCATGCTTACCAGGTATCTCCAGATTTTTGCTGAACAACTTAAAAATTTACTGTTTTCCGGATTTGGTTTTGTAACTGAGTTAACACATTCAATTTCTAGTTTTGGTTTTGAAAACCAATAGTAGAGGTATGAGTTTATATGCATTTTTAATAATCCACTAAACTTTCTTCTGTTATCAAGGCAGCCTTACTGGCTTAGCTTGAGTTAACAAATTCAATTATTAATCAATTTGATAAATCAGAGTTTGAAGTAAAAATGTCAGCAGGATCAAGACAAGCAAAAAAAAGTTCTGTCCATTTAAGACAATATGAAAATTTTTACTTAATTTAAAAATAGAATGTTCAATTAAAGAAAGAATGCTCAAATTCTCTTTCTTATGAGACAAAATATCAATTCACAACAATATGGCTTTAGCAAGCTAATTGCTTTGTGAAGCAATAATGTTTTATATTGTTAATGAACATTGTACATGTACTTGCTTTTTGTTGGCAGCACAATGCACAAGTTTTGTGCAATTTAAAATTACATGGTATATTTAATTTGAAACTTTTGTTTTCAAGTTGATTTTTTTTTTTTTAGGAAAGTATGGAGTTCCTGAGCCTTGGTATTTCCCATTATCTCCCTACTACTGGGGATGTATAAAATCCACCGTGAAATCAGCCGACAAATACAGAACAAGCTCAGGCACTGGTGAGACTAGTATCCTAAGCATTTCTTATTATCATGACATGTCAAATCTACTTTGATGATCTCTTATTTCTTTTAGCCTTAATGATGCATGGTTATTGTGTCACAGTGAATGTTACTTATACTTTTGATCAAGTATACTGTCAAATATTCCTGATTTCTCTCAGTATTTCCTCACATGCTCTATTGGAGGATTACCGGGGTATATACTGAATATTCATGATTTCTCTGTTTGTTTTCAGGTGCTTTACTGGAGGAGTACAGCAAGGACAGAAAAGTGGGAATGTCTTTAAGACACCTCTCTAAGAAATTCGGGAATCAGGAAGTGGTCAAAGATCTAAACTGTGACTTCTTTGAGGGTCAGATCACTGTTTTACTGGGTCACAATGGGGCCGCCAAGTCCACTACATTGTACGTACTTGATTAAATTAACATTTTACATGTAACTGGAGGGTATTTCATGATGCGATTAATTTGACCTCATTGTGTATGAATCCTGATACCGTATAAGTAGAATTTTTAGCGAGGATTTAATTTTGGCATTATTAGCGAAGGTGCCAAGGTCGCTAAAATTGAATATTGCTAAAAATCAATTGCTTATTATTTGTAATAGCTTCTTTAGTTAGCATTTTAGAAATCGCTAAAATTACTTTAAGCTAAAAATAAAACACCAGATCTGAGGTAGAAATCGCTAAATTTGCGTCTCGCTAAAATTTCCACTTATATGGTAAGATTTTACTAAGATTTGATATATTTGTATCAGGAATATGATGTGTGGGATTCTACAGCCTACTCATGGTAAGGTGTCGATATATGGACATCGAGCCAGACACGGGGCCAAGAAGATAGGAATCTGTCCTCAGTACAACGCTCTCTTCCATTAGTAAGTCTTACTGTTCCTTGTCTATTGTTGGACTTTATTAAATTTGGTAATGCCTATTTACTTCTCTGACTAGAGTGTTGTCTTGGACTGATGATATGATATGAATTCTTTCAGCATGACAGTTCGAGAACACTTGGAGTTTTATTCTGCCATCAAGTCTGATGCTTCAAAGAGTAAAATGAAAAAGGAGATTGACAGGTGAGTTTGTACACACAAAGATATTCATGAATTATGATACCACTGGCTTCACAGACTTTCAGAGTCATCTTTATGATTTTCCTTTAGTTTGTTGCACGACGTGGACCTATGGAATGTTCAGGACACGCTGGTGTCTACCTTGTCTGGCGGTATGCAGCGGCGACTCTGTGTAGCTCTAGCCTTCGCTGGGGATTCTAAGGCAGTCATTCTGGATGAACCAACAAGTGGAGTAGACCCCAGCGCAAGGAGAAGCATCTGGAACCTGCTGGTCAAACGCAAAATGAGTAAGTACATTAAAACAGTCAAATATGCAGTTTTCTTTAAAATGCATAATTTTCATCCAGCTCTTTTCCTTTTGCTTTAACTTTTGCTCACTCAGATAATTCCTGGTAAAATTGAAAGCAATTTGTATTTTTATTTCTACAAACAAATAATTTACAGCTCTTCAGACATAGGTTTATGGCTTGGAAAGAATTTAAAAGGAAATTTCAAATAGCTAAGGCCAAAAAAATTAATTTCTTGGTTTTCAGGCCCTCCCTCATCTCTTCCAAGGGTACCTCATTGACCCTTTTTATTGCTAAATCAATAAAATAATACAACAAATCACATCCCTCATCATTGTGTTGAGGTTTTGTACAATGTAAAAAGCTGCCTCATCATGTTTAGGGGGCAATGAAAAAGTTTTTAGAAAATGCCTCCCTCCCTCATCATATTTCTTGAAAAAAAAAAAAGGCCTGAGAACCAAGGAATTAACTTAGCATGGCCTAAGCTTTCAAATTTTTTTTTTTCTGTAAGAAAGAGTGTGTTTATTGTACTGTTACACAATGTTGGTTGACAGAATGATTATTTGTTTGTTTACTAGTGGGTGGAGATGAGGGTAAGTTACCTGGTTCAAGGGTTTATGTTTAGATAGCACATAACATTGGTCTTCTGATTAAAATTCCTTAACATTTGTACAAAGTACAGTAAAACTCGGTTATAACAAAGTCACAGGGACCTGGAAAATTACTTCGCCATATCCGTAATTCGTTATAACCGTAAAAAAGAAATTGAATTTTTAAAGCTGGGGATTCAAAATGAATTCGCTATATCCGTTAAATTCGCAATATCCGTGTTCGTACTAAACGAGTTTTGCTGTATTAATAATAATAGGAAGAAAAATATTTGTATTGTCTTGCATCCAATATTACCTAACCTAAGGGAAAATTAAATTAGGTATACAGTCATGTATTCCCAAAGTGAGATAGGGTGAGTTCACCATGCATCGGACACATACCTTGCTTCGGACAACTTTAGGCAATAAACTCTCTTTCAACTTAAGAGTATGTGTATTTATTTGTTTCTGTCATAAAGACGAAGATTTAAATTTTTTAATGATACCGATTGTGTTTATCATGTTGTGATAAAAATACCCCGCAAATGGCCTTGAAGTTACATCATATTTTTACATCATCTAAGGGGAATAACCCGAAATTTATAATTTTGCAATTTTTAGAGTTATCGTTCTTTTAAATTCGACTTCCACGGAACGACTCGGACTTTGGTGAATTTTGTCAGGGATTGGTAATTTTACATAAATTACAATTAAATTTCACTTCATTGTTTGTTTAATTCTTATTAGAGCTGGTTTTTACCAGTATGCTATTTTCCCCGTACATCGGACACAAATTAACCATGCATCGGACACTTTTCGATGCAAAGGTAAGTCTACCATTTTCATACAGAACCCAGCTGACAGCTGTTTTTTGCGGAAAAAGAAAATAAAAACTCTATATTTTCAGTCAAAATACAAGTTATCGATATATGACGTCTGGAATTTTACTCAATTTATTTCTACAAACCAGAGTATGATAAACCATGAGAAAAAGGCGCGAATTACGGCATTATAAGCATTTTAAAGCATTTCTTAGGCAGAGTGAGGTCTCGAGAATCATTCTACATTTGTGAAATAATATCGTCGATTAAATTAAAGTTGAGGGTTATTTCTTAGATAAAAGATGAAAATATATCCATATCAAGGATTTTAAAGCACTGTGATAAAGGTATGATATTTTTCCAGTCAGTCCGATGCATGGTGAACAATGTCCGATCCATGGTGAATTTTCAGTTTTTTCTAAAAACTCGATTTTCGGGGATATTTTCTCAATAAACGGCATACAATGGTGTCCTAAATTGTTATTTTAATCACAAACTAAATGTTAAACTCCATTTTGATAATTTTCCGTCGGTAGCGATATCGCTAGAACTTGTTGAAGTACAAGGGTATCCGATGCATGGTGAATTCACCCTATATATAATACAACTACAAAAGCACCTGTAACACTCCTTAGAAATATGAATTACACAGTTTTACACTTAGTCACTGTGACCCCTTTTCAAGCAGCATTTGATGATTTCTTGTTAAATGTAGCACACAGTGGATCTTGTAGTTGTGTGTCATGCAACCAAGAGGTATTGTGTTTGATAGATAAAAAGTTGCATACACTATAGGTATTTTTTCAGGATATAGTAATATTGCTTTTTATTAAATGATGCATAACAATACCATACCAAAATAAGGTCTGAATAAAATATGATTAGGACACCAAAACAAAATTACCAACAGAGGAACATATAGGTGAGAAAAACAATACCAAGTTAAACAAACATGGATCAAAATACATATATAAATGCATTTTAAAATCATGATTTATTGTGCATGACCCAAATATAATCATTCCAATATACCCAGTACTGCACAGTGGGATTCCTGAGCATTATGTGGGGTGTAGTGTATGTTAAAATACTTTGTCTGGGATGCATGTGGATTCCATTATTCTATCTTAAGAATGAACTGGAGTTATTCTGATATAATCCTTGTTAAAAATTTTCAAAAATTGACCATAAACTGTGTTTAATAGACACTTCAAATTAAGGAGTGGCATCATAATTTTGTGTTAAATTTTGGTACAGGATGTACAATTCTGCTGTCGACCCACTTCCTGGATGAAGCAGACACGATCGGGGACAGAATCGCCGTGATGCACAAAGGCCAGATCCTGTGTACGGGGTCACCAATGTTCCTGAAGGAGAAAGTGGGCAGTGGTTATCACCTCAGATTTGCCAAAGCAGGTGCTTATCCTACAAAAACTTTTTAAAAATTGTGGCAGGCATTTCAATGAAATTTTTAATTAAGACAACTTATTTAGTTGTACAAATGTACATACACATAATTCTTTAAATTTTATTAAAAGATATATTGAATTTGAGATTGTGAGCCATGCATAATTTTTCTGATAGGTTTGTGCAGATAGTTATATATTTTTGTCAGATACTTGTAATACCAATGAGGTATTGGCAATGGTGAGGAACTTCACACCAGAAGCTGAAATCGTCACCGAGCTCGGATCAGAGGTCATAATGTCATTACCTTTTGCAAGTGACCAATCAAATCAGTTCTTCAAATGCCTGTACAACCTGGACAAGGGGGCATCATCACTTGGTGTTAACAATTATGGGGTGTATGATACCACACTTGAGGAGGTAGGGAAACAGACAAATATATGGCTGTTACAAAAATAATATAAGGACTATTATTTTTTGTGGGAGGAAAAGGGCATAATTTGTAAAGGCAGTTGTAAACATAAAAACATAATGTAAATGCAAGTAATTGAGAGAAAATTTCTATTTTAGCATAAATAGATTTGGGTTTAAAAATGAACATTGAAAAAGATGATGTCTGAATGATTCAGAATCTACTCCAAATTGGTAAGGATTTTATTGATGGTAATTAATTTGAATGATTGTAGGTTTTCCAAAAAGTGTGTTCAGTAGCAGACAAAGACATGACCTTGACAGAAGAGGTTCTACTGGAATGTCGCCAAAAACCCAAAATGGAGGACCCAGAGAAAGAAGAGGCAGAGGATCAGACTTCTCAAAGCAGTAAGTTTTAAATTCTGTCACACTTTGTATAGCTCATATCAAGTGTGTAAAAGATTTCAATCATAAGGGACAACATCTCCAGAATGAAGTTTATCTTCTGCTGTATTTATCTTTTCAAATCTTATTCTTTGAAGCAAACATCAAAAGAATTTTTATATTTGTATTTATCTCATACATGTACTTCTACAAGTTTCGTTAAGTAAATACATGTATATCTAATTTGATGAATTATGTGTTTGTTCAGGTGCCAGTTATTCAATGCACTTCTCTGGAGACAAACGAAAGGGTCTGATTGGTCACAAACTGGGTCAGTTTAGCGGCATGCTGATCAAGCGTTTCCACCACTACCGCCGGGACTGGCGTATGTTTCTCTCAGTCTTCCTGCTCCCCCTGGTGTTTATGACGGCTAGTCTGGGTCTGATGGAGCTACAGCCACAGATAGGAAATGCCCCCGCCAAAATCCTCACTCCACCTCTGTATGGACCAAGAAGTCACGCTTTTGTCAAGTTAGTACAAAGATGGAGATTCCTTGTTATTTATGTAATCATATCCGTCCTCAATTCAGCTCCCCTTTAAAAGTTTTTGAGTTATTCTTTGCTGATTTCTTATATTTGTACTTTGCATTTTATGATAGACTGCAAGTACATGTACATGTAAATAAATTCTACTCTTTAAAAAAAATGTAGTTATTAATGTCATTAATTCCTTTAATAAAAACCAAACTGGTGGCTGACACAAATTGATTTGTGATCTTTTTAGAGATAATGTCAACAGTGATATGACCAGGTATATGATAGACAGCATGAAGTCACGTCCTGGATTTGGAACCACCTGCATGAAGAATACTAACTTTGGGTAGGTAACCACATAATACCACCTGTTTGGGTAGGTTACCACATGAAATCACCTTCATTTTTTAATTTTTTTTAAAGTACATACATGTGTCTGGTATTACTCTTGCAAACATTGCAAAACCTTTCCAGAATTTTCTGTCTAAGTTATTTATAACTGATTTTAACAATTTCAGACCTCCCTTTGAGTGTGTTAACCCAGACCCAGGGTTCTCTACAGTGACCAGTGGACAGAAGTATGATAACTGTACTTGTGAGAACAATAAGTACGTCTGTAGTCACAGGACGATGTACCAGGATGTCCCTCACATGACGACCCGCACAACTACTCAGCTGTATAATCTACAGGATAAAGACATAGACCAATACTTACTGCAGACCTCACAGAGATTCTTATGGAACAGGTAAGTTCTCACCTGTATAATCTACAGGATAAAGACATAGACCAGTACTTACTGCAGACCTCACAGAGATTCTTATGGAACAGGTAAGTTCTCACCTGTGTAACCTACAGGATAAAGACATAGACCAGTACTTACTGCAGACCTCACAGAGATTCCTATGGAACAGGTAAGTTCTCACCTGTGTAACCTACAGGATAAAGACATAGACCAGTACTTACTGCAGACCTCACAGAGATTCCTATGGAACAGGTAAGTTCTCACCTGTATAATCTACAGGATAAAGACATAGACCAATACTTACTGCAGACCTCACAGAGATTCTTATGGAACAGGTAAGATCTCACCTGTGTAACCTACAGGATAAAGACATAGACCAGTACTTACTGCAGACCTCACAGAGATTCTTATGGAACAGGTAAGTTCTCACCTGTGTAACCTACAGGATAAAGACATAGACCAGTACTTACTGCAGACCTCACAGAGATTCCTTTGGAACAGGTAAGATCTCACCTGTGTAACCTACAGGATAAAGACATAGACCAATACTTACTGCAGACCTCACAGAGATTCCTGTGGAACAGGTAAGTTCTCACCTGTATAATCTACAGGATAAAGACATAGACCAATACTTACTGCAGACCTCACAGAGATTCCTATGGAACAGGTAAGTTCTCACCTGTGTAACCTACAGGATAAAGACATAGACCAATACTTACTGCAGACCTCACAGGGATTCCTTTGGAACAGGTAAGATCTCACCTGTGTAACCTACAGGATAAAGACATAGACCAGTACTTACTGCAGACCTCACAGAGATTCCTATGGAACAGGTAAGTTCTCACCTGTATAATCTACAGGATAAAGACATAGACCAATACTTACTGCAGACCTCACAGAGATTCCTTTGGAACAGGTAAGTTCTCACCTGTGTAACCTACAGGATAAAGACATAGACCAATACTTACTGCAGACCTCACAGGGATTCCTTTGGAACAGGTAAGTTCTCACCTGTGTAACCTACAGAATAAAGACATAGACCAATACTTACTGCAGACCTCACAGAGATTCCTTTGGAACAGGTAAGATCTCACCTGTGTAACCTACAGGATAAAGACATAGACCAGTACTTACTGCAGACCTCACAGAGATTCTTATGGAACAGGTAAGATCTCACCTGTGTAACCTACAGGATAAAGACATAGACCAGTACTTACTGCAGACCTCACAGAGATTCCTATGGAACAGGTAAGTTCTCACCTGTGTAACCTACAGGATAAAGACATAGACCAATACTTACTGCAGACCTCACAGAGATTCCTATGGAACAGGTAAGATCTCACCTGTATAATCTACAGGATAAAGACATAGACCAGTACTTACTGCAGACCTCACAGAGATTCCTATGGAACAGGTAAGTTCTCACCTGTGTAACCTACAGGATAAAGACATAGACCAGTACTTACTGCAGACCTCACAGAGATTCTTATGGAACAGGTAAGTTCTCACCTGTGTAACCTACAGGATAAAGACATAGACCAGTACTTACTGCAGACCTCACAGAGATTCCTATGGAACAGGTAAGATCTCACCTGTGTAACCTACAGGATAAAGACATAGACCAGTACTTACTGCAGACCTCACAGAGATTCTTATGGAACAGGTAAGATCTCACCTGTGTAACCTACAGGATAAAGACATAGACCAATACTTACTGCAGACCTCACAGGGATTCCTATGGAACAGGTAAGTTCTCACCTGTATAATCTACAGGATAAAGACATAGACCAATACTTACTGCAGACCTCACAGAGATTCCTGTGGAACAGGTAAGTTCTCACCTGTATAATCTACAGGATAAAGACATAGACCAATACTTACTGCAGACCTCACAGAGATTCCTGTGGAACAGGTAAGTTCTCACCTGTGTAACCTACAGAATAAAGACATAGACCAATACTTACTGCAGACCTCACAGAGATTCCTATGGAACAGGTAAGTTCTCACCTGTGTAACCTACAGAATAAAGACATAGACCAGTACTTACTGCAGACCTCACAGAGATTCCTATGGAACAGGTAAGTTCTCACCTGTGTAACCTACAGAATAAAGACATAGACCAATACTTACTGCAGACCTCACAGAGATTCCTATGGAACAGGTAAGTTCTCACCTGTGTAACCTACAGAATAAAGACATAGACCAGTACTTACTGCAGACCTCACAGAGATTCCTATGGAACAGGTAAGTTCTCACCTGTGTAACCTACAGAATAAAGACATAGACCAATACTTACTGCAGACCTCACAGAGATTCCTGTGGAACAGGTAAGTTCTCACCTGTATAATCTACAGGATAAAGACATAGACCAGTACTTACTGCAGACCTCACAGGGATTCCTTTGGAACAGGTAAGATCTCACCTGTGTAACCTACAGGATAAAGACATAGACCAATACTTACTGCAGACCTCACAGAGATTCCTTTGGAACAGGTAAGATCTCACCTGTGTAACCTACAGGATAAAGACATAGACCAATACTTACTGCAGACCTCACAGAGATTCCTGTGGAACAGGTAAGTTCTCACCTGTATAATCTACAGGATAAAGACATAGACCAATACTTACTGCAGACCTCACAGAGATTCTTATGGAACAGGTAAGTTCTCACCTGTGTAACCTACAGAATAAAGACATAGACCAATACTTACTGCAGACCTCACAGAGATTCTTATGGAACAGGTAAGTTCTCACCTGTATAATCTACAGGATAAAGACAGAGACCAGTACTTACTGCAGACCTCACAGAGATTCTTATGGAACAGGTAAGTTCTCACCTGTATAATCTACAGAATAAAGACATAGACCAATACTTACTGCAGACCTCACAGAGATTCTTATGGAACAGGTAAGTTCTCACTTGTATAATCTACAGGATAAAGACAGAGACCAGTACTTACTGCAGACCTCACAGAGATTCTTATGGAACAGGTAAGTTCTCACCTGTATAATCTACAGGATAAAGACATAGACCAGTACTTACTGCAGACCTCACAGAGATTCCTATGGAACAGGTAAGTTCTCACCTGTATAATCTACAGGATAAAGACATAGACCAGTACTTACTGCAGACCTCACAGAGATTCTTATGGAACAGGTAAGTTCTCACCTGTATAATCTACAGGATAAAGACATAGACCAATACTTACTGCAGACCTCACAGAGATTCCTATGGAACAGGTAAGTTCTCACCTGTGTAACCTACAGAATAAAGACATAGACCAGTACTTACTGCAGACCTCACAGAGATTCCTATGGAACAGGTAAGTTCTCACCTGTATAATCTACAGGATAAAGACAGAGACCAGTACTTACTGCAGACCTCACAGAGATTCCTTTGGAACAGGTTTTTAATAGTCACAGTTAAGAAGTATAAAATAAGAGTTTAGTTACTCGAAATACTTTTGTGAAAATAGTCTTTAATTCTTGTCTTGATTTTAGGTTTGGTGGACTTTCCTTTGATCCAGTTTCTGGTGACCCAATGACAATGAAGTCAACAGTTTGGTTCAACAACAAAGGAAGACATGCCCTGCCCTCCTTCTATAATGCCCTGTCTAACACCATGCTGAGAGCTACACTGTCTGATGCTGGTGTAACTGACACAGAGAGCTTCGGTATTCTTCAGATGTTTTAAAACATATTGCAAATCTACTTGAATAACTTTTACCATAAATAAAAAAAAAATCCCTTTCATCTGAGCAAAGTTGTTAAATTTAGTATCTAATTTTAACTTTATCTTATTTTAAGTGCACTTTATTTCATTTCTCAATGACAGACAAAGTTGAAAGCAACTACCTACGTATGTTAAAAAAAAGTTGTATTTATTTTCAATTTGTCCGAACAGGTATCACTGCGATTAACGAACCCATTCTGCTACATGAACAGCAGCTGACCATTGATACACTGTAAGTTTTTATTACAATCACAGGCAGATCGTGCATTCTCTGCATTTAAACAGTAAATCAGATTTAAAACTCATAAGTTATACAATTTCACATACCATTCCTTACACAGATTTTTTCTCCATATAGAGAGACTGATAGATTTTTTTTGTCTTCCAGAACAAAGAAGGCCTCTGATGTTGGAATTGGATTGTTCATGTTGGTGGCTTTCTCCTTTATCCCTGTGGGCTTCACCATGTATGTCCTGAATGAACTGTTGAAGAAGGAAAAACAACTCTTGTTCCTCAGTGGAACTGGTCCCCTACTGTACTGGTTCACTGCCATCTTGTGGGATATGGTGAGCCAACAAGTCTTTATACCTTTATATGTGGGCTGCGTTAAAGCGCTCGATGGCTATGAGTGTTAAGATCTTGAACAATTACATAGTACATAGGGATAACAAGTATTATTTCATACAATGTGTTCAACTGACCTAAAAGCTAGCCTAGCTGCAAGACTTGATATGTAAAAACCTCATTGCAGCTCTGAATATTCAACTGTTGTTGGCTAGTTAAGCTCTCAGCCAAGAGATTATACCTGATAAAGTTGTTATATTATAGTTCAAATCAGATTATGTTCCTGTTTTAATTATGTAGCCTGTTTAATGATTTTCCCCTTTCATTTTAACAGTTCTCATTATATACCTCTTTTAATTATGTAGCCTGTTTAATGATTTTCCCCTTTCATTTTAAGCTCATGTACTGCCTCACTGTAGCACTGACTGTTGCTATCATGGCCATCTTCCAAAATCCTGTTTACTGGGAGAGATCCAATCTACAAGCCAGTGTGTTACTCGTCATCATGTATGGGTAAGTTATATTCTGTTAATTAAATCTTTCCCTTGCACTAAAGGCCAACACCCAATTCAGCTGCTTGTATCAATGTGTATGTACTATCAGTCGGTAGATAAGAGTGAAACTTATACATTTAATATGGATAGGACCCCAGTCCATGAATGTTTTGCCAGATCTACAAAAATTTTCTATAGACGATATTGTTCTTTAAAAAATGCTTTCAAAATTAGTTCAGGTCTGTATTTTAGATGGTAGCAGTGAAGTATTTGTAGCCACATACATGTTCTCTCTAATGGCTTTATATGTGTCTAATTTTAGCTGGGCGTCCATCCCTCTGATGTACAGCATGATGAAGCTGTTCCGAGATACGTCCACCGCATACATGGTTCTCTTCTGTGGCAGCGTGTTTATAGGAATCACCACCGCCTGCTGTACCTTCCTTCTGGAGTACTTCTCAGATTCAGAGGTATGTCAAAATGTGGTCCTTGTATTCATGTCCTCCCATGGTAAAATACAATGAAAGCTTCCTTATTATAATGCTAATTAGCAAATGCAAAGCAAGAATTTATATGTTCTTTAGTTCAAGACAAATTCTTAATTAACTTTAATTTAAATGTACATATAATTGCAAGTATGTACTTTCCAATTCTTTGTACATGTTATATGCTTCCTTACTGTATATACTGTAACAACTGACATTTCCAAAAAAAAATCTTTTCAGAAAATCCAGCATGCATTTGAAATCCTGAGTTATGTATTCCTGGTCTTCCCACAATTCAGTTATGTAAATGGCTTCCTGAAGCTTACGACCAATCAGCTGCGAACAGAGATCCTGTCACTGTTTAGCCAGGATGCCTATGTGGACCCATTCTCCTTTGATATGCTGGCCTGGAACTTCATTGCCATGGGAATACAGGGAGCTGTGTTCTTCATCATCACTCTACTGACTGAGTTTTCATGTCATTGTTCAAACAGGTATCTTGAAGGCAATTCGCATATGCAAAAATTTATGTCTACATTTGTTTGATGTAGAAATACAGGTAATTTCAGGTAATATCAAATTGCAGCACATTTATTCAATTCTCTATTTCTAAAGAAAGTCTAGGTATATTGTTGTTGATACATTGTACATATTATTACTGAGTGCTGTAACTGAGTGTCTATTGTGCTGTCTGGTCCAAGAAAATTTATTTCTGTTAACTTTATTCATAATAGTATCAGGAATGTCACATCAGACATGAATTACATGTGAATACTTGAAAATGTCTTAGATAATAATTCTTAACGATTCATATTTTTATTTACAGAGTTCCGCACAGCTTACACTCAGAGGAAGAGAAGGAGGATGAGGATGTGAGTGCTGAGCGTGCTCGAGTCCAGGGTGGCACAACGAGCGGGAACTCCGTCACTGTGTCCAATCTCTCCAAGGTCTGGTTATCACCTGAACAAACACCCCATTAATTAGTAACACTAATTAGTAAAAGAATATAGATTGAGACTTCTGGTGCAAAATTTGCATTATTTTTCATGCACTCATCTTTGATTGATTAAGACTTTGATACTGTTTCTGTAATATCTGTGTAAAATGTGTCTTTGAATTCCAGGTTTATGGACGTGGGGGACACGACTTCCTGGCAGTGAACCAGTTGTGTTTTGGAGTGAAGAAGGGAGAGGTCAGTTAGATAAATGAATTTAACCTAATTAAATTTGTTTGTGTTCTCCCTATATTGCTTACATGTATTTGCAGTGTTTTAAATTATTCTGAATTTTACCTTCTATATTTGTAATGTTTTAAATAATTATTGATTACTTATCTATTTGTAGTGTTTTGGACTGCTAGGTGTGAATGGTGCTGGTAAGACTACCACCTTCAGAATGTTAACAGGTGATATCAAGGCCTCTAGTGGAGCAGCATTCATCAAAAATCACAGGTAAGGTTTCCCATAACACCAACTGCCTGTAATGCAAAAAGCATTAACAATTTTATACAAAGCATGATTTATAATGTGGAATAAAGTGAGCAATGTTGTTACTTCAAATTAAGAATCAAGGCTGTTCAACATTAAGATAGAAGTTAGATATTTTTGATTTCAGAAGGCAGTTCTATTCTAGAAGACACTTAACAGTCTACGGAAGCCCATTTAGGACCTATTGAAAAATATTATTGAATCCGATATAACGAATTGTTGAATTTGTTATAACAATTTCTATGAATTTGTTATAACGATTTTAATCTGTTATAACAAATTTGTTGAATTCATTATAACGGATTCTTTCGTTAAAACGAATTCAAAAATTTGTTATAACAAATTAAATTCATTTAACAAATTCTTCAGTTTGTTATAACAAATTAAATTTGTTAAAACAAATTCCAAAGTTTGTTATAATGAATTAAATTCGTTTGATCGAATTCAATAATCAGGGTCTATAGAAAAATATATATTCGATATTAAGATTTGTCGAATACGTTATAATGAGTTTAATTCATTTTAACAAATTTCTGAATTTGTTATGACGAAATCAACAAATTTGTTATAACAGATTAAATTCACTAGAACGAATTCAGGGTGTGTTAGAGGTCCAATTCGGCAATTCGTTATATCGGATTCAAAAATATTTTTCGATAGGTCCTAAATGGGCTTCTGTAACAGTCATACATGAGATTATAAATGACATTTTGTTTCCTTCCACAGGATTGTGTATGGAGAGTCCAGTTTGGGTCGAGATATAGGATACTGTCCACAGGAGGAGGCTCTGGACCGCTATCTGACCGGCGGAGAAATGTTACACTTCTACGCCAGGATGAGGGGACTCCCCAACAGCTATAGAAATTATGTAAGTGGTCAATTCCTCAGATAGCTGCATAGTTTTAAAGTATCTGTACCGGGCCAGTTAAATGGCACAGAATTAAAAAAAAGAAGTTTAATTTTGTCAAAGAATATTGAAATAGACTTACTGATTCTGCTACAGTGATAAAATGTTTTTATTATAAATGTTTTCTCTTTTAAGTCTGTGCAAGACTTGATCCAGAGGTTAAAGTTGACATCCTTTGTTGACAAGCCTGTCCATACCTACAGCGGTGGAATGAAGAGGAAGCTCTCTGTAGCCATAGCTCTACTGGGAGAGCCCAGTGTTGTCTTTCTTGTGAGTAGAGCTGACTGGATTGCCTTTTTTGTTGAACTCTTGAAACCAATTTTTATACAACAGTAGAAACTTGAATATTTTTGTTCTGTCAAAATGATTTGGCCTTAATCAATTTAGTGCCCCTCCATCCCTCCTCTCATTTTTTTTTGTTTTGACAATTTAACATTAATATACATGTTCATATATTTAAAAATAATTGTGTTTGAAAACTTGAAGGATGGCAAATTCATTAAAATCTTGTTGCAGGATGAGCCAACCACAGGCATGGACCCCACAGCCAAGCGGCAGGTGTGGAACTGTGTGTTAGCAGCCATCAAGAATGGACAATCTGTTGTCATGACTTCACACAGGTTGGTTTATACTGCGTAATGCACAATTGTAATTGCATTTAAATTTATCCATCTCAGATTCTCAAGGAAAAAGTAAAAGTATTGATAACACTTTTGGAATTTGATATTTTATGCAATATTAAAAGAGAGTGGTCTTGTTTTCAGTATGGAAGAATGTGATGCCATTTGCACCCGCCTAGCCATCATGGTGAATGGGAGTTTCCAGTGCATTGGTAGCTCACAACACCTCAAAGACAAGTAGGTCTCCTTGAATGTACTATGTCTTTATTAATGTTGTTGAATTCAGAAACATTCATGAAATGATTTGTATTGTTAAATCTGTGATTTATAGGTTTGGAAGTGGACACACAGTGACAATATCCCAGTGTGGTCTTCCTTCAGAGAGACAGGAGTTAATGAACTTTCTGGAAGCAAGGTTCCCAGGGGTAATATTCAGGGTATGTTAACTTACATGAAATGCGGTATATTGTTGACTATGTATTTCTATTCAAATCAAAATATTTTGCACATCATTTTTATCTTTAATTGAAGTACCAGTATCTCACTTTCTACTATAATATTACTCTGCATGTTAAAAAAAGTTTTCTATTAAGTCATAATTTCAGAATATTGATAGAAAAACTTATAAAATAATTTGTCAGGTACAGCACCAGGGTGTTTTAGAGGTCCAAGTGCCGAGTGACCACACCTCTGTAGCCGACGTCATCCAAGTTCTGGATGAGCTGAAATGTCGAGGAGTCATCCAGAATTACTCTGTGTCTCAAACCACACTGGATGACGTGAGTTTGTTTTACATACACATTTATTTTGTGTGCTAAAAAATTACTGAGCTGGTGATAATGTTAATTTTGTGTTTCTAAACATGAAATTGATAGTATTAAAAATGGGAGACCTGATATCATCAAATAAATTTTCTGTAATTTTTTATTCTTTTATTTTACATGGTCTTTTTCTTTTTTTCAGGTGTTCCTAAGCTTCACCCGCGAGCAGACAGATGGGGTGGGGGCTGACGGAGAGGATTCCTACACAGACTTCAGCAGTGATGCCAGCGAAAACGTCTCACAGATCAGCAGCTCCATCGCGAAGAATCAGTTTGCCTACATGAACCCAGGTTATGCTGGAGACAAGGGAGAGAAAATGGGGCAGCTGTCAGCAGTGTTCATCAATCCCGAGGAAGAGTTCACTCCCCTTTGATCCACTGCATTGTGAATGTAGTGTTCTAATTCCACTGACGTTATAAGATTTCAACACTTGTGTTGCTGTTCTACAAGGATATTCCATTGTATTCTGATAGTTCTGTGATATCTGTTTTCTGACAAGGTGCTTCTATTTTGTGTTAAGATTCCTTTGGTCATTTATACCCTACTTTGGTGTATAATGGTTTTGATGCACAAATGTAAATATGTGCAGCAGGTCTTGTGATTTTTTAAAATATAAAGTCCAGGAACTGAATAAATAATGCTATGTCTGACAAACTTTGTCTTCCAACATAAAGTAAGGAGTTCCACCTATTGTACAATTGAAATCCATGCAACAGTTCTTAACTGATCATTTATTTATAATCATGCATTGAACTTTTATTCTATTTATCCAAATAAGCAGAGTAAAACCTATTAGAAGATTATATTTTTGTGTACAATTATACAATCAACCAGGGTAAAAATATATGTATGCTGTTGATTGTCAATTAGAATGTTTGTTTTTTTTTTCCTGTTTTTGATTACATGAATATGTATACTAGTACACAATATACTGTAATTAAAATGTTTAGTGAGAGATATTTCTGTTTACTAAGTCTATAAGTACACCTTGGGGTTATTTTCGTAAAAATTTTGAATATTTTTAATCATGTATAAAACAAATTAATTTTTATATCATTCTAAGTAAATTTTAATCTTGCAAATCTGTAAATCAAAAGTACACAGAGATTACTCAGCAAGGTGAACATTTTCATATTTACAGAATATACACTGTAAATTGATACTCTGGTTTCATCACCAGTGTTCTTTGTTATTGTGGTGAGCCAAAACAATATAAAGTTCACATTTTACTAATTATAGAAATAACAAGGTAGCTGTCCAAAAATTTATGCATCAGTGAAGTAGTTTACAGAAATGACCAACATCAGCCCCAAAATCAAATTTTAATTGATATTTTTAAAATTATGGTCTATTGAAGGGGTATTTGCAGACTTGAAAGCATTAAATACTTTCTACAATCATGACATCATAAGTTAAAAATAACAAAGTGTAAATTTCTTAGATTTTAAAAGAATATAGTGCTGCCAATAACACTCTTTCTTTCCATGACATATTTTGTTCACTCGGATTTCAAATGCAATATAGCCAATAAATATGTATTCTTTGAGTCAAAAGATTTGAATATTTGGGATGATAATAATTGTAATATATTGTTCTTAGATCCCACCAAGATGATCTTCATTTATAATTCTTTCATTTTCATGTACTTTGATAAAATATTTTTCAGTGAGGTATTGTTAAAATCTTTATCACTTTTTGCTTTTTTTTTTTAATTGTTGTTCAGCATTTTTAGAATGTCTTTATAGCATATTATCTACAATTAACAATGCAATTTTTAATGATATGACTATTTTATTTCATTAAACTGGTTCCCTGTAAAAGCTATAATCATATTTCATGAACAAATATCCAGTATATGTACTCACCTTCTCCACTTTATTTGTTGTCATTGGCTTGTTACAGGGAACCAGTTTATAGCTTGTTGTCATTTATATACTTGGTGCAACTTTGAATACCAATGCAAAATGCTTTAAGTAATTTTAATTCTACTGTATTTACATGAAATTCATTAAATAAAAATATAGTTTATTATTCTGCGATTGTTGTTATGAAAGCAGTGTAACAGGATATGAGAAAATTTATGCTAGCTCAGGAATTGGACCCTCAACCCTTGCAGGTGCTTTAACCACTGAGCTTAACAATATACATACAGACCTGCCTTCGCTTCCGCTCTTTTGGCGTAATTCTTCTGCTTTTTACCATAAAATTATGCCACTTATATTAATTTTACGCTTTTGATATTTAGGTTTAAATTCAATTATGAACGTCTAATTTTAAAGTTAAAGAACGACCTTCTGAAATGAAATGAGAAGTTCTTATAAAAGTAAAAAATAAAAGAGGACCACTTCGAAATTGTACATAATATACCTAGTAGTTACATGTAAACTGGTATGGCGAAGATTCGGAGGAAGACAAGAAGGCACTACTTACGTTAACTATTATAAAAGATAACGCAATGAGAACAGCTATTTCTATGCTCATTTTAGTTTATTTTAACATTGCTTACAACAAGATATAGAGAAATGTGAGTGTTAAAAAGATCAAATTATATGTTAAAATGTACGGTTTGTTTACACATGCAGACGCAAGCCTTCAATAAGTGATATGATATAAATTGACCAAAATGTATCACTAAGGATTTACGGTTGAATTGAGTTTGATATGGGGCACTGGTATTATACAACACTTTTTTTTGCTAATAGATGATTCGAAAAAGAAAAGTTTATGCCAGCTTTGTTTTGTAATGTACAATTTCAGTTGTTTTGAAGGGAAATTAAGTATTATAGTAAAACAAAATAGGAAAACATAATTGATTACGCTTTTACCTCTGAAATTCCACCAAAAATGTACTGAAATTACACCTTTGCAATGAAAAGGGTAGGCAGGTCTGTACATAGTCCAAACCTTAACATGTGAGACATGCATATGTACTCAAGAAGTAAATACTGGTAATGTGTTCTAAAGGGTTTTTTCTCTTCTGTAAGTTTTCTCTGAACTTTAAACCACTCACAGTCAAAGTTGCCTAGTAGATGGACACTCACTTTGTGCTTGGAATGTGAATAAGTTTGATTTTCATGCATTTTCAGCACTGAATCAAATGTTAGGTCAGTAACAAGGTAAACCTTAGGTCCCGTGGCAAGGGAGGTAAAGAAACCTCATAGTCCGACGGTCCTGATTGCAGGATGAAGGTTATAATTTGAAGCCCTTAACCGGCCAGTATTTGGTGACCCGGCGCCTGCTTCATTTTTGCAGAGGGACCCCCCCCCCCAAAAAAAAATTATTATCATTATTTCATATAAAAATGCCTTGGTGAGCTTTTGAGTAGAGATAATAATGCTGCATCAAAAAATCATACTTTTAACAAAAATTGATGTAATAATTTATGATAAAAGAAACACTTTCTCTAGTCGTTTTATTTTTCACACATGGATATCAACTTTGAATATAGAGGCAAGCTTTTCCAATTATTTTACATTCAGCTTTAATATATATATATACATGCATATTCAGATGGGGAAAATGTTACTCAGGTGCAGAAAACATGGTCAAGCCTTAGGCTGAAAAAAAAGAGACAGATGATAAGCAGCATTGGATTCTTTGAATCTTGGGTAGAAAAAGTTGAGTCTTTTCTAGCCAAGTCAGCATAGTCAATGTGTCTTTGAGGGTCCAATGACCACTAACAAAATTTCCGCTCAAAACATTGAAAACATTTACTCCTGGAACTACACTTTAGAGTACCCCGAATTACCCAAGGAATACTATCAGTACTTTGATTGTACGAGATCCAGTTGCAATTTGTGTCGGGCTTGATGTTCTCTTAATACTTAACAAACAACAAGTGCTTGCGAGGAAAATATTAATATTTTTTATTTTCAAATTGAGCTGAATTTTTCTTTAGTTTTAAAGAAAACTTAGCGGAAGCCGTATTTTCAAGAGAATTACAGATAAACAATGCCATAGTAGGTGGAACTCTGAAGAGTTGTTGCTGAGTAACAGCACAAATGAATGTTGTCATTACTCATTTTTACATGTAACTGCACTTATGCACAGATATTGTGCTCTGCACAGATACTGTGCAAACGTAACATTGTTAGCCTTGTGGGAATTATTGATACCCGGGGTCGAATTTGCTTTCAAGTTATTATGTCATGGATTTATGTATTATTTCATTTTGATTCAGTTATAACTGTTATAAATTGACTTATTCAATTTCAGATTTGCACAAGATAAAATCCTTCTTTTCAGATGCTATATTAAAGATGTATCTGTAGAGCAAACACATAGGACTGTACTATAATGGCTGTGTGTTTGGGAAAGCGTGATACCGTTTTTTCCCTGCCTGTGAATTTTTGTCCCTCTCTCCTGCGAGGAAATCGTGGCAGCATGGAGTCCGTTATGAGTATTAACGGATCATGTGAGTCTGGGGATGATTACAGGTACGCGGAGGTGTCACACCCCGCTCAGATGTTAGCAGGAATGCAGACACTGCGACGGAATGGCAAGCTTTGTGACGTCACTTTGTGTGTTGATGGACGAGAATTTCCTTGCCATAAATGTGTTCTAGCTGCCTTCAGTTCATACTTTGATGCCATGTTCAGTGGTAATATGGTAGAAAGCCAGCAAAGCAAGGTGACCATTAATGGAATCGAGTCATCTATTTTAGAAAAACTTCTGGATTATGCATATACATCAGAAATCACTATAAACAGACAAAATGTTCAAAATCTCCTCGCTGCTTCCAACTTGCTGGAGATCATTCAAGTTAAAGAGGCCTGCTGCCATTACTTAGAACAGAACATGGATGAAACAAATGCAGTAGGCATCCATTGTTTTGCTGAAATACATGCTTGTGATGAACTACAGCTAAAATCTAAAGACTTTATCCTGCAGAACTTCACAGCTGTCTCACAGCACGAGGAATTCAACAACCTGTCCCAGAGCAAACTGACGGAGCTACTGTCTGATGACGAACTGATTGTAGATACTGAAGAGACAGTGTACGAGGCAGCAATGCGCTGGCTTGATCACAGCAACGAGAGTAGACTCAAGGAATTCTACCACATCTTGGAGTGTGTCAGATTACCCATGATTAACCCGTACTACCTACACGACTTTGTGGAGCAGAATGACGTCATTAAAGCTTGTGAACAATGTAAGAAACTGGTGGATGAAGCTAAGAACTTCCACCTTCTGCCCGACAGAAGGACTGAATTCAATAATAAACGTATGAGGATACGTAAATCAGCAGGTACTTACAGTAGACATTTCTAATACAAATATTACATGTTAGTTGTACATGTAGTATTAACATTACTAACATTGCAATACATGTACATGTACTAAATTTACAGTTGTGTAGATTGGTTTTAGAGGAAATTCTGTTAGGCAGTCATATAAATCAATGAAAGCTGGAAAACTGTAAAAAAAATCATTTATTAATGTATTATATTTTGGTGGAAGAATAAATATTTTATACACTGCCTTTCCTTTGCTACCTAACATGTCCTCATCTTCTTTAAATCTTAAAATTATCTTAAAGTTTTTTTTTAGGTCGTAGTGGCTGTATTCAATAGTTTAATATGTAAGTGTGTGGGAGTTGGTGATAACTGAATAACTGAATATCTTTCCTATAAAGTTTTGACAGGTTTTTTGGATGAGGTGGTGGCTGTACTCTATTGAATGTTTATAGGCTTTGTGGTGACCCTACTATGCTTTATTTAATTTTTACAGGTTTTGTGGAGGTATCTGTATTCTATTTATATGTTGACAGGTTTTGTGGAGGTGGTGGTGGCAGTGGGTGGGGAGGATGATAAGGTGGTGCTGAGGAGCGTGGAGACCTTTGACCCCAACACACTGACCTGGAAACCACTAGCTTGTCTACCATTCGCCATCAGTAAACATGGACTAGTATCTGTTGGTAAGACAGTATATAGGTACTTTTTTGTAAATTTGGATGATATTGATGATTGACAAAAATAGTTTAATAATTTCAGCTCATTATCTAAATTTGGTTAACTTTACAACACATTTCATTAGTGTAGGTAAAAATAAATGATTTTTAATTAGCACATTTTATGCATATTGTATGGAAGAAGTATTCATTTGCTCATTGTATTAATTTCAAAAACACTTTAAGTTAAATCTGATGGACTGCATATACTCAGAGTAATTATCTACCTGTCAGGTGGTTCATATCTATACCTGGCTGGAGGGGAGTATCCGGATGGTAACGCCAGTCGGAGCGTCTGGAGGTATGATCCATGTCTGGATACATGGGATGAAATGCAGAGCATGCAGACTCCAAGATCCGAGCTAGGTAAGATTGGAGCTAGGTAAAATTGGAGTTAAGCAAGATCTGTGCTGGGTAAAATCTGAGGTAGGTTAAATAGGAAAGGAGCTGAGCTAGGTAGACTGGATCTAAAAAGAGAAGAATCTGAGCTGGGGTAAAATTTGGTCCATGTAAAATTTTGTTAAGTAAAAGTAAACTCTACGTAAGATTAAATTTCTAGTTTGTAAAGTAGGGTGATAAATTTACATTTGATTTGTATGTAATACAAGTTCTTGCCTGTATTATTTTCAGGACTAGCAATGTTAGACGGCTACATGTATGCTGTGGGAGGCTGGGATGGGAGTATGAGACTGGACACTGTAGAACAGTATAACCTCTATACCAATGTGTGGTGTTACATCTCTAACATGAAGATGGCACTGACCAGTCCAGCTGTAGCCCCGGTGGACGGATGTCTCTACGTAACAGGTGCTTCCTCCTACACTTTTCTATGTCAACCTGTTGCGTCTACATGTACTATATATTCTATAAAAAAAATTTGGAAATTATAGGAAAAAAAATTAACCTTTTTTTGTAGTTTGTAATTGATACATTTTGAATATATTTTTCTCGTAGGAGGAGCCATTTTGGATGATGGTGATGGGATAGAACTTGTCCAGTGTTACAACCCTCGCTCTGACGTCTGGTCGGAGAAGTCGCCCATGCTGATTCCCCGGTCAGGGTCAGGGGCCTGTGTACTGGATGGCATGATATACATCATAGGTATTCAGTCACTAATTGGTCAGAATACTCTACTATCTTGTGTACTGTTCTGTGTAAGCAGTTTAAAGATCCAATTTTTAATGAAAGTTAATGTCAATGCTTTCAAAATTTTTGTTAAGCATTAAATTATAAAGGTAAAAATTGCCTGGGATTGCAATGCATCAAAAATTGTTTATACTTTAAGGTGGATGGCACGCTTCTACTGAAAACACAAACAAAGTGGAGTGTTATAATCCTCGCACCAACCAATGGATGCAGAAAGCCTCACTGTCAGAGCGGAGGTACCGCCCCGGGGTGGCTGTGGTGGGCGGCAAGATCTACGTGTGTGGGGGAGAGGAAGGGTGGGACAGGTAATACAAAATAAGTGTCAGAGATGTAGATTGACGAGTTAGTGGTACTTTACAGCTAATCTGAGACAAAATAAGTGTCAGAGATGTAGATTGACGAGTTAGTGGTACTTTACAGCTAATCTGAGACATGGAAGAAAGAGAATTTATTTATGGAAGTGTAATAATTGATGTGCCTTTTGATCAATTTTGCATCTTTTTATAAGATTTTATTAGGAAGTGTACCAGGCTGAGAAAAAAAAACTTCCATATTAAATTGTGAGCCTTTGGGCTTCATGTGAAGAATTTCTACTTAACTCAATTTTAATCAAGGGGAAGACTGAAAGATAAATCTGAAATATTTCTTTTTTCAAGAAATATAAGTGGATATGAATAATATATTGTTTCTTACTTTCCATTTGTTGTAGATATCATGACACCATTGAGTGTTATGATCCGGAGTCTGATAGCTGGGAAATTATTGCAGAAATGCAGTCAAGCAGAAGCTGGCTAAGTTGTGTTGCCATGGTGATCAGAAAAGAAATAATCAACAAAGAAAGATCCTCCCCATTTGTCAATGTCTGATTGGACAAGAGAATCAGAATCTTATGTCTGATTGGACAAGAGAATCAGAATCTTATGTCTGATTGGACAAGAGAATCTTAATCTGATAACTGATTGGACGAGAATTTTAAATCATGACAATGTCTACAAAGTTAGAATCATGAGAATTTCTACAAAGTTGGAATCATGTGACAATATCTACAAACTTGCCCTGGTAGAATCATGTGACAATTCTTACAAGTCTGAAGCTCATGTGATGTCTACTAAATGCATTTTCTTTCTAATTAACTTCATCTAGTTATCAAAGCAGAATGATGACTAAACAGTTTTCTGAACTGTTCAATCTTTAATTTAACCCTTAGTTCATACATGTACATGTAGTTGTTTTGCTAACTTATATGCCTTCCATGTTATATTTATCTGAAGAATCTCGGACGAGTGTAATCTAAGTTCATTGTATATATGTTATCTATCCGTAATTCCTTTTTTTTCCTCCACATTTTCACAATTTCAAAACCTGCATGAAATTGTATTTCATTGTCTATATGTGACCCATTCTAAATTTGTGGATTTTTTTTCTCATTTACAAAACCTGTGTAAAATTGTAGTTCATTGTTTATTTAATTGTTACCCATTTTAGATTTCATGTTTTTTTTTCATTTTGACAGTCATAAAACCTTTGTAAAACAGGGTTGTAAAACACAGTGGAGCTGGTCTCCCAAATATTTTGTGTTCAGATTCAGAATGATGCTGGAATTAATCCTTCCTTCACTGTTTTGTTCATGTACTTTATCTGTTAAGCAGAGTTATCCCCCTTAACACATCTTTGCTGGACAAAGAATTTCCACCTTTGTACTTATTGCAATTATTATAATAAAAAAAATTAAAGATATGTGCAAGAATTATGCTTATATTCAACCTATCTATGATTTCATTTGATATGATTCTTTCATTAGAAAAAAAATTATGCAGTCAAAGAGGGTTTATGTTTGTCAAAATGTATGTACATTGTACTGTGTAAAAAAGAATCGGGAGTAGTGATGTTTGAGCTCTCCAAGTCTAATGTGACACAACTTGTGTAGTGGGGTGAATAAGCACACAAGACATGTACTGCATTCATTTTCTTTGGAAACATCAGGCACACATCTCTGCAATGGGAGATTTAGGTGTAAATGTTCCTAGTTTCTCAGAAATGCTCTACAAAATTAAACACACAGCCAGCTATGTGTATCTTTTCAACTGAATCTTTAGAGTACGCAAGTGAGTTAAGGCTATGTATGGAGGTTTATATGCAAAAAAGCTAATTAAAACCCCATATTGGCTTTATATACTGCACAGAAAAAGTTTAGACTTTTTTCTAATACATTCATAGTATCCACAACATGCAATAGCCTGTACACATTATGACGTCATATTATGACATCAACCACCTCTACTACACAAGTTTGTTAGGAACATCAACAAAATCCCATCAGCGCAAGATCATATCTTACTTTGTTTTACAGAAGCACGGTAAGGTAAAAAGAGATGCAGGATATTCCAAGGATTTAAGATATTGCTGCACAAATGTTGACACTGGAATTGGTTACTATTTATACATTTTTAAGTTGAAACAGGGTAAAAATTCACAGTCGAGTCTAATTTTACTAGAATTTTCATTGATTGTGAAAGAACATAAGATTTGCGCAGCAATTTTTTTAATTTTTAGAACATTCTTAATATTATACATTATTTAATTCAAATTAAATAGGATATGCCCTTGAGCCAATGTTGTTTTGTTGACATGTTTTATTACCTTGCATGAGAAAGAACAATGACGTCATAATATGACGTCATGTTGTGTACTAGCTTTATCGTGCTCTGGGTACAAAGTATGAATAATATATAAAATATACAACTTATGCATTTTTATTAGCTTATTTGCATAGAAACGCCCATACCTAGCCTTAACTTACTTGCGTAGATTCACATTAGGATTCTGCTAAATCATTAATTTATTCATCATGAAAATTTATGGTAGCAGATCTATAGCTCACTGGTGTGAAAAAAAAAAATTGTAAAGATGAAGAGAGCTGCAGTGCCACCATCTGAAAAAATTGTATATTGTACTTACGCAAAAAAAAAGTATTATCTATTGATATAAACAAGAACACACTAAAACAGGAGATATCAGATTTATTTAAGGTGTCCAGTCTGCATCAGAGTATGTTTTGTGACAAATTTTTCGTTTTCTTCTCCCTCCAAACACCGAAGAGCACGGAAGTGTATCTGGGCCGCGGACTCGGCACTTCCGTCTGGATGTTCCGACTCCAGTCTGAAGTACTCAATCCAGATACCTATAAAAGGAGCAGGAAGATTGGATTTCTATCATTCATAATATTTGTGTATTCCCTTCTCACAAGGACTCTTTAAAGTAAAGTGTTATAAAAAAGGCTTGTAAATATATATTGTATTTATAGAGAGAGAGAGGGTAAAATCACCTTTGAACAAATAATAAAATGGTCAAAGTTAGATTTAAATTGTTTGGGATAAAAATGTAACAACTGTGTACATTGATAACCAGTACTTAAAAACTAAAAGATGAAGTTCAATACAGAATGTATACTGGTTTAATGTTTGATAAATTTTACCTGAATCTGATGATCCAAATTCCTTTATGGCGTCCTCATACGCTGATCTCAAATGCTGTATCTTCTGGTGCACCTGTAATACATGTATGAAATATAATCAAGGTTCTTACAAACACATACATATATATTAAAAAAAGATTAATTGTAAAAATAAAAGTCAGAATTTGTGCTAAAAATTCATGATATTTTAATTTTTAGACAAAATGGATTTTATCACAAATATTTTATAATTGAATATAGCAAGAAATACATTTTTAAAATTTCAATAAAAAATATTTCAAACAAGTGAGAAAAAAATTTGACACCTTTTGTGATCTGTTATTTACTTTTGATGCAAATATCCAATTAATTATTTTCAATTGATTTATATATATGTACCAGTACATGCTTTTGATCAAATGTCCTTTTACAAGTACCGGTACGTCCTTCACCCGTTTAAACTAGATTGCACTCCTATTTGTTTTTTAATATGGAAAATCAAATAAATCTGAATATGTTCACAAAAGTGCAAATCTTTATTCTAATGGTACTCTAAAAACGTATTTAATGCTGACAGGTACTTGTTTAACAAGGACATGTTTACCCAGACACCCATCAAATTTGCCAATCAATTAAATTCATGTCAATTTATTTTTTATTTGTGAAATGAATTGATTTAGAGAGGGTAAAAATTGATACAAAAGTATAAATTTGAGTTTAACGTTTTGTATCTTTGTGATATGAACAGAAGACGACAATAACAGTTTTGTTGCACTTTTTTCCTTGCTAATAGATAAAGAATAGCTATAAATATTTCATATACAGAGCAGATGAAGTTATCTTGTGACACAAAGACTGTCAGAATTACATATTTAACAGATTTTTTCACCGTAGGATCAATCCAACTCTGCCAGTGATGACTAGACATTAGCAATAGTCTTATTTTTGGCAATAATAATAGACTTCTAGGAAACTTGGCAGCTTATGAATTATATAACTTCTCCCTGTATCGTTATCATTTACAGTGCACAATGTAATCATCAACAGCCAGACCATTCCTATATAAGGTTTTATGTGCTACAACACGTCTCCTATTCCAGTACTTTAGTATTAAAACTGATACAGACTGGCAGAAGAAACAATCCCTATCCTACTTTTAACAGAATTAAAATGTTTGATGGAGATTATGCCTGCACTTCAGAAATGACTAAGGGAAGAATGATTGTCCTTGTTTGAGTTTTAGTTTGCATTCTAATGATAAATGGTGTTGGGTTATCTTTGAATTTTGGCTACTTTACACTGCAGGGACTGTTTACATAATTTGTTGATTACTACCGTATATGTATTTTTTTTTCCCTGATTGACTTTGGCTATTTATGTCTTAATTTTGTATTCAGGTATTTTCCTCACGCATTTTGAAGGATCAATCCAACCCAATGATCAAAGACTAAAATTTAATGCTTATATACATGTGTATTTTGCTCATCATTTTGAAGACAGATTAAACTAACTGACAATGCAATATTTGATGCTCCACTCTTAATCAATTTGAGGAAAGATTCAACTTTGACCATATGCAATATCTGATAGTCCTTGACTTTCCTAAATGGACATTAATTTTTTTTAATTCTATGTTTATTCATTATCCTAAACCCCATTGCAGATGCAGCAAAATTAGAAAAAGTTTCTTTTCATACAAGCCCTGACCCCACCCTGTGACATCCAATGAGTAACATGTACATATATGTAGAAACAAATCAAACATCTTTCCATGTCTTTTGTGGGGTAGTGGTCATCATAACAAAACAAGGTTTTGTTGATATTGTAGGAGTGTTGAATTTGGTATACATGTATTATAAACTTTATTACATATTTTATTCAATGTAAAAGCCATTTACCTGTGATTTTTCCACCTGGATGTAGAGATGATAAAAACCAAGAGACAAGGGCTTTAAATGCTGGAGCCTGCAACAAAATGTTTACAAAGCGTTAATGTATTTTGTGAAATGAACTGAAAATAATAACAAAATAGCTTACTTCAAAATATGACAAAAAGCAATGAAGATAAATCAACACAGCTATAATTAACTGATCTGGACCATTAAAGGCGTGTAGGTTACCAGTCTGGGAGGTTAGGGGCAGATCCCCGAAATGCACCACAGATATTAATGCAGTTATTCGGGGCTTTACTTTGACTTTATGTACTGTAGCAATTACGTTAAGGTAATGCCAGCAACACTAAGATTATCATCTATAAAACATTCAGATGTGTCTGTAACATGCAAAATGTCCATATATACAATAGAATGAATTTTATATCTCGCACTGCAGGGCTTATTAAATCATTAATGAGAACCCAAAGAAAACCCTTTAGCCTATCGTATATCTGGCAGCGTAGATATATAAAACATTTATTGATATGGGCATGAAAATTATCACCAATGTCAGGCCATTCATAGATCCTTATTTACAGTTCAGCCAGTTTGAAATATGTTGTTTCTCCGATGTTCCAGGCATGAAATAGTCAATAAACCAATGTCCCGCGACACATCAATCTTTGATATCTCAATAGCGCTTTGTTGAATATTACATTTCCTGTGAAATCATTTTATTTTTGAAGTGCACAAATTACTTCTGGAGAGATGGTATTCAATTGAAAGCTGGGGAAACAATGCATCACTTTTATTACACACAGCTTTACATTGATGGTAAATAGCAGATCTATATATAAATATTTCTAATTCAGGTCCACTCCTACACTTCCAAAAATTATTTCAACAAATTGCTCTGAAAATCTTCTCAAAATCTGCAATCTGATTTGTTATGGATTAATCCTTACAGTGAAATATTTCTATAAAGTATTCACTGGGTAATAAATAAGACTTAAAACTGATAGGTTCATCAAAACCATTACTTTTAAGTTTTTGCTTCTACTATGATGAGTGAAATAAATTCAGTGATGGTAGAATTTCATGTCTAAAGGCATAAACACAATTAATTTTTCATCAAAACAAACATCAAACAATTTTAACTCAGAGTTCAGTGATCAAAATAAGCCTATCCTAAAAACAGATTAAGAAGGTATTGAATTCCCTGACATGTGCATACATGATGAAATACAATATAAGGCTTATTCTATACTGTGGTTTCATCAATTTTTGTTGCCATCAATTTTCGTGGATTTTGTAAAACAGACATTTTCAAGGATACATAATTTCGTGGACGAAAGCATTGTCTATACAGATGAATAACAGATTTCTCAATTCAATAAACATTTAATTTCATGGATCTGCTCAACAAAGAATTCCTCAAAAATTGAAGCTCAATGAATATTGATGAAACCAGTATCTAAAAAAAAATGTCCTGTGTCACAAGATGCTGGGAACCAGATAATCCTGACATCCAGAGCCATGAAGTGGATCATTAAAAGAAAACAAGAGGCCCATGGGCCTTATAGGTCACCTGAGCATTATGCAACAACTTTCCAGTGATTAAATTTAATTCATCATAACAATACACTTAGCAGTTGCTTAGTTTGTTTACTTAATACCCATACACAAGGTAGGGGAACAAAAAATGCAAAAGGCACTCATCATAACTATGCACTTAGACATTTTCAAAGAATTCATGTATTTTCACTTTATAGAATAAGACTATACAAAGATATCCAAAGCCAAGAATAAGACCATCTAAAGATATTCAGAGCCAAAAACTATGCACTTAGTTAGTTTATTTAATACCCAAAGACAATCAGAATTCGCCCCCCCCCCCCTAATACCAGAACCCCTATTTTCACTATATAACAAGGTCATACAAACCCCTGACCCTGTTCACAATTTTGGTAGAGGCACTCTTGCTCATCATAACTATGCACTTAATTTATTTAATACCCAGGAGCAGAGAAGAAGATTTTCAGAAAATTCATGTATTTTCACTTTATAATCGAGTACCCCCCTCCCTGGGGCCATAAAATTCAAAATTTTGGTACAGGCACTCTTGCTCATCATAACTATGCACTTAGTTAGTTTATTTAATACCCAGGAGCAATGAAGAAGATTTTCAAAGAATTCCTGTATTTTCACTTTATAAGAAAAATTAAACCAGAACCCCTGCGTGGGTAAAATTAAAAATTTGTTCATCATAACTATGCACTTAGATTTTATACCCATAGCAGAGAATAAATTTCATAGAATTCTTATTTTCCATAAAAACACTACACCATGTTTTTCCAATTTTGTAATTTTATCATAACTATGTACTTAGTTAGTTTATTTAATACCCAGGAGCAGAGAAGAAGATTTTCAAAGAAAAATGTATTTTCACTTTATAACCCTAGCACTAGAACCCCCCCCAGGGCCATGAATTTCACAATTTTGGTAGAGGACTCATTGCTGAACAATACAAACAGATCAAAATAAGGCCCCTGGGGGGGGCAGGGGTTTTTCACAATTTTTGCACTCTTGCTTTCATAACTAGGCACTTGGTTAGTTTATTTAATACCCAGGAGCAGAGAAGAAGATTTTCAAAGAATTCTGTATTTTCACTATATAATCAAGCCCCACACTAACACCAGAACCCCTGACCCTGGGGCCATAAAATTCACAATTCTAATTCTTTGCCCGAGACTAGGGCCATGATGGTAGAGGACTCATTGCTCATTACACTTTCAGAGAAAAGGCAGTTTGATTCATTAATGATTTCATAGTGTCTTATTTTCCATAAAAACACTGGTTTTGGCCCCTTCCCACTCAGCGAGCAGAGTTTTGAAGCTGATTACGGAGATAAAAGAAAATAAAGGCAAGCATGTCAGATATGGTTGTGTTTATAAATTATCGTTGAAGATATAAGTATAAACAGTTTACCCGTGCATTTCCTCTGAAAGTGTAAATGAGCGCGATTCTAAGGGAGGGGGGTACTTGGTGTAAATAGGAGTTAGATACCTTGTGTTATTATTATATACTATGGGTCAAAAAATTATTACAGAAACAAGTGCCTGTGATTCGGAGCCAAAAACAAGATCATACAAAGACACTCAGTACCAGAACAAGATCATACAAAGACATTCACAACCCAGAACAAGATCATAAAAAGACATTCAGAGCCAAGAACAAAATAATACAACGACATTCAGAGTCAAGATCAAAACAATACAAAGACATTCAGAGCTAACAACAAGATCATAAAAAGACATTCAGAGCCAAGAACAAAATAATACAAAGACATTCAGATTCAAGAACAAAATAATACAAAGACATTCAGAGCTAACAACAAGATCATAAAAAGACATTCAGAGCCAAGAACAAAATAATACAAAGACATCCAGAGCCAAGAACAAAATAATACAAAGACACCCAGAGCCAAGAACAAAATAATACAAAGACATTCAAAACCAAGAACAAGATCATACAAAGACATTCAGAACCAGAACAAGATCATACAAAGACATCCAGAGCCAAGAACAAGATCATACAAAGACATTCAAAACCTAGAACAAGATCATACAAAGACATTCAAAACCTAGAACAAGATCATACAATGACATTCAAAACCAAGAACAAGATCATACAAAGACATTCACAGCCAAGTACAAGATCACACAAAGACATTCAAAACCAGGAACAAGATCACACAAAGACATTCAAAACCTAGAACAAGATCATACAATGACATTCAAAACCAAGAACAAGATCACACAAAGACATTCAAAACCAAGAACAAGATCATACAATGACATTCAAAACCAAGAACAAGATCATACAAAGACATTCAAAACCTAGAACAAGATCATACAAAGACATTCAAAACCAAGAACAAGATCACACAAAGACATTCAAAACCAAGAACAAGATCATACAAAGACATTCAAAACCTAGAACAAGATCATACAAAGACATTCAAAACCAAGAACAAGATCATACAAAGACATTCAAAACCTAGAACAAGATCATACAAAGACATTCAAAACCAAGAACAAGATCATACAAAGACATTCAAAACCAAGAACAAGATCATACAAAGACATTCAGAGCCAAGAACAAGATCATACAAAGACAGTCAGAGCCAAGAACAAGATCATACAAAGACATCCAGAGCCAAGATCAAAATAATACAAAGACATCCAGAGCCAAGAACAAAATAATACAAAGACATCCAGAGCCAAGAACAAAATAATACAAAGACATCCAGAGTCAAGAACAAAATAATACAAAGACATCCAGAGTCAAGAACAAGATAATACAAAGACATCCAGAGTCAAGAACAAAATAAAACAAAGACATCCAGAGTCAAGAACAAGATCATACATAGACATCCAGAGCCAAGAACAAAATAATACAAAGACATCCAGAGCCAAGATCAAGATCATACAAAGACATTCAAAACCTAGAACAAGATCATACTATGACATTCAAAACCTAGAACAAGATCATACAAAGACATTCAAAACCAAGAACAAGATCACACAAAGACATCCAGAGCCAAGAACAAGATCATACAAAGACATTCAGAGCCAAAAACAAGATCATACAAAGACATCCAGAGCCAAGAACAAGATCATACAAAGACATTCAAAACCTAGAACAAGATCATACAATGACACACAGAGCCAAGAACAAGATCATACAAAGACATTCAGAACCAAGAACAAGATCATACAAAGACATTCAGAGTCAAGAACAAGATCATACAAAGACATTCAGAGTCAAGAACAAGATCATACAAAGACATTCAGAACCAAGAACAAGATCATACAAAGACATTCAGAGTCAAGAACAAGATCATACAAAGACATTCAGAACCAAGAACAAGATCATACAAAGACATTCAGAACCAAGAACAAGATCATACAAAGACATTCAGAACCAAGAACAAGATCATACAAAGACATTCAGAACCAAGAACAAGATCATACAAAGACATTCAGAGCCAAGAACAAGATCATACAAAGACATTCAGAGTCAAGAACAAGATCATACAAAGACATTCAGAGTCAAGAACAAGATCATACAAAGACATCCAGAGCCAAAAACAAGATCACACAAAGACATTCAAAACCTAGAACAAGATCATACAAAGACATTCAAAACCAAGAACAAGATCATACAAAGACACCAAGAGCCAAGAACAAGATCATACAAGGACATACAGAGCTAACAACAAGATCATACAAAGACATTCAGAGCTAACATCAAGATCATACAAAGACATCCAGAGCCAAGAACAAAATAATACAAAGACATTCAGAACCAGAACAAGATCATACAAAGACATTCAAAACCAAGAACAAGATCATACAAAGATATTCAGAGTCAAGAACAAGATCATACAAAGACATTCAAAACCAAGAACAAGATCATACAAAGACATTCAAAACCAAGAACAAGATCACACAAAGACATTCAAAACCAAGAACAAGATCACACAAAGACATTCAAAACCTAGAACAAGATCACACAAAGACATTTAAAACCAAGAACAAGATCACACAAAGACATTCAAAACCAAGAACAAGATCACACAAAGACATTCAAAACCTAGAACAAGATCATACAAAGACATTCAAAACCAAGAACAAGATCATACAAAGACATTCAAAAACAAGAACAAGATCAGACAAAAAATTCAAAACCTAGAACAAGATCATACAAAGACATCCAGAGCCAAAAACAAGATCATACAAAGACATTCAAAACCAAGAACAAGATCATACAATGACATTCAGAACCAGAACAAGATCATACAAAGACATTCAAAACCTAGAACAAGATCATACAATGACATTCAAAACCAAGAACAAGATCATACAAAGACATCCAGAGCCAAGAACAAGATCATACTATGACATTCAAAACCAAGAACAAGATCATACAAAGACATTCAAAACCTAGAACAAGATCATACAATGACATTCAAAACCTAGAACAAGATCATACAAAGACATTCAAAACCAAGAACAAGATCATACAAAGACATTCAAAACCTAGAACAAGATCATACAAAGACATTCAAAACCTAGAACAAGATCATACAATGACATTCAAAACCAAGAACAAGATCATACAAAGACATTCAAAACCAAGAACAAAATAATACAAAGACACCAAGAGCCAAGAACAAGATCATACAAAGACATTCAAAGCCAAAAACAATATCATACAAAGACATTCAAAACCTAGAAAAAGATCATACTATGACATTCAAAACTTAGAACAAGATCATACAAAGACATTCAAAACCTAGAACAAGATCATACAATGACATTCAGAACCAGAACAAGATTATACAAAGACATTCAAAACCTAGAACAAAATCATACAAAGACATTCAAAACCTAAAACAAGATCATACAAAGACATTCAAAACCTAGAACAAGATCACACAAAGACATCCAGAGCCAAGAACAAGATCATACAAAAAGACATCCAGAGCAAAAAACAAGATCATACAAAGACATTCAGAACCAGAACAAGATCATACAAAGACATCCAGAGCCAAGAACAAGATCATACAAAAACATCAAAAGCCAAAAGAACAAGATCATTCAGCAACATTTAGAAAATCCTTGCATACGCCTTTCTTACCTTGTATACAGCTGACGAGCAGCCTTGACACCTTCCCTCAGGTAGGTCCATTGTAAATAGGCTTCCTTGACAGGTACACAAACTTCTCTACAGGCCAGGATTCCTGACTATAGATAAAAATAATACACTGATTAAGATGTTGTTTGTCAAAATATCAGAACACAAACTTCTTCAAAACCTTGTATACATTTGACTATTTGATGCATGATTACATTTATCCCTATATAAAACTTTCGTTTTTTAATCACAAAAAAAAATTTTAAACTCTATGTTTTTGATAAATGTTTGTGCTTTGTGATGGGAGCAATTTAAAAATATAATATGATTTCAGAAACAGTCTGTGTGACAGTCATATAAGAGTTAGACGGTACCTCAAAGAGTTTCTGGGTTTCTGGAAGGTCACACGCTGCACATAACTCCAGCACTAAACACCACAGTGGGTAGCTCTCCTGTCAGAAAAAGAAAGGAGTGTGATAGACTTTATAGAAAAAAAATTCTCACAGACTTATTATTTACTGTCATACTGTAAGACTCTAAAGTCTGATGGTGACACCAAAGTCCGATGGTCTCGCCAAACCCCCATGGTCTGCGCCAAACCCCAATGGCTCTTTGTCATTATGAATGCCAAAGTCTGACGGTCATGCCAAAGTCCAATAGCTTGTTTCCTATGAGACAAGTTGCGCTGAAGTGCGATGGTCTGACACACCAAAGACTGATGGTGTGGATGAACAATCAACGTTTACGATGTCATAATAATCTGACGTCAATTCTTGACGCCATTTTCCTGCATTCAAAAGCAATCATTTCTGAATTCATCCTCGAATACAATTTTATTGATTTTGCTTATTGCTTGCACCTTCCAGAGATATTAGGGTTAGTCCTTGCACACCACTCAGCTGATTAGGGTTAGTCTTTGCATTGCACAACCCAAGCGAATTAGGGTTATTCCTCGCACACTAGTTGAGTGATTAGGGTTAGTCTTGCCCCCACTCAAGATATTTAGGTTATTGTTAATACACACTTTTTGAGCGTTAGTCTCACACCTATCTGAGAGATAAGGGTTAGTTTTCCCATTTATTTATACTTATTTTAAAGACCTTGGCATGGCCCGGCATTGAGGTCACAGTGCTACTATGACGTCATAAACGTTAATTGATTTCAGCACCATCGGACTTTGGCGTGTCAGACCATCGGGGGTTTGGCGCAGACCATCGGACTTTGGCGTGACCATCGAACTTTGGAGTCCCATTGCACTTTGGAGTCCTACATATGAAATATAGATAAATTATTAATTTCTTGCTTAAGCAATAACAATACAGTGAATCTTGTCTAATCATGTTATCAAAGTGTGTCTCCATTTTAATATTCGAAGCTTTCGGGCTTTTTTGTTGTTTTTCTTTGTTCTACATTATTCTTTCCCCCAATCAAGCCTAAGAATACCTAGATATTGGGCTATTATTCATTATCATATGATTTAAAAGAATTTTTGTTTTCCACTTTTCCATTTTTCTGTAAAATATTTATTTTTCTATCTTTATATGAAAGAGATAACAAAAAAGCAATGTGAAATTTGAAAGAAAAGATATGATTTATAAAAACGATTGCTCATTTCTGAAACACCAAAGCCATTTGATTTTGACAAAGCTGTCAGAATCATTTCTCTGCATTTACCAATGACAGTTGGCTTTCTTCAGAACACAGAAATCTTCCCTTTCTGTCAGAGCAGGTCATTTCCCCGTAAATGAGAGGAAATTGAACTGATTCTAAATATGACAGTGACTAGAAAGTGTAATTAAACGTTTAATCAGAATTTACAGAAAATAATCTGTGGAATTTGAGCACAAGTCCTTCATTAAAGGGGTAAAAACCCTTTTCTGAATGACCAATATGAGTGTTGAAAAGATGTCCATTTGATACCATTTGCATGTCCATGCTCAAACTCAATAATTCCAATATCGAGTTCCAGCGCTCCATGACATCTCTGCTCAAGAGTAATGATGGACATTGCATCCCAATTAAAGAGATCAATAAGGGCTTTGTCATAAAAATTCTCCTTTTAAAAGAATTAACCACACCATGAATGGAGAAGGCAAAAGTCACGACTAATGTATTTACTCACAACTCAAAGCAAACTGATGCCAAACCTGTATCTACAAATATCTAACAATGAAAGCCTTGTCTTTTAGTGGGTCAACAATTTAATGGAGGTAACTGCTGAGAGTAAACATTTATCATCAATATTTTAATGACAATCAATTCGGGTTTAAGTTTTACTCAGTGTTTTTGTCACTGATGTGTTAAGTTGTTCAGATGACTGACTATACCGAATCTATAGTGGAGCCCACTAAAGAAAAAGAAAGTTCCTTTCATCTGAAGGCTTCATACAAATTGGTTTCTCCTATTTCAATTGCTAAGACATTGGAGAGAGAAAAATCAATGATAAATAGATTGTTATATTCTGTCCGCTTTCTTTTCTACCTGAAGTAAAGGTTTGAGTAAGGTTTCTCAAATATCACCTTTGATCTGGTAACAAGGTGTTTATAGGCATTTGATAGGAATATTGGTTGATGGGTCCTTGTGTGAAAATTGGAGAATAGACCTATGTGGAAAGTAAATACAGACTCTGAGGTCTTATATAGGCTACAAAACACATGTGTCTATCTGATTAGATTTTTAAAGGAAGTCTAATAGTGGTAAAACATATGTTACTTAGTACACTGATGGCTCTTGAACAATTAACTAAAAGGGTAATTAACATCAGACAAAGGCTTGAAAAAATAGGGCTAAGTGATCTCCATGTCTATAAATTTCTCTTGGTTGAGTGGATCTCCAATCCCGTATCTGTTGCCTGCTTCCAAAACAGTACTTCTTCTGTTAAAACTCGTGATTTATAATGATAAGAATTGATCCGGTTTTTTTATAAAGGATAAATTATTATGACCTTTTTCATGACATTATATGATGTATCTTTTCAGGTTATCTTCAGATATGATCAAGTCAGCAATGTGGTCTATATGTCATTTATATATGACCAAGTTTTAGTCATGCGCATACCCAGTAAACTGGTCTGTACCTTTTCAGGAACCTTTTTCCTGGCCTTCTTAAAAGCCTTAAGGATTAAGTCTGCTGTAACATTGGTCTTTATCATGAGTTCCAGTCTCTGTAACCATAGCGACACACACTGAGGGTGAGAGGTCACGGCCGCCTCCAGCACGCCTTCTGCCTGAGTGACCTCCCCAAGGTCAAGTAAAAGTTTAACCTGTGTAAAGAAAAAAAATTGGGAAAATTAATTAAGTACAGGACAAATGAAACAAAAATTTTTTTATCAAAATTCCAGAAAATAAAAACTTAAATCATGTTTACATCATAAAATGAATAAGTTAACTGAATAGATTTTCATTTTTCATACAAAAATTCATAATAACAGAATTTAAATTAACAAGAAAATTATAGATTAATAAGGTTGCATGATTCCAGAATTTTTTAACATCATAGTAAGTTTACGATATCTGAATATTTTAGAAATTTATTATTTGTATCATTTGCAAACGAAAAAAGTTCAAAAATTCTACCAATCCATGCATATATTTTTTTAGTTTGTATCATCTGTCCCTAATGTTTAAAAAATTACAGGTGTTGTTCATTTTATGACAGGAAAAAGGTTAGTGGATAATCCCAACATATGTTGACTTATTTGTTACAAATATAATTATATATATGATAATTTGGGAAAGAATGTTACAGTGAATTATCAATTTAATCAGTTATTGAAATGAGTACTAGTATGCTGAATGAAATTTACAGAAAAAAAACGGTTATGTGTAGATTTGTGGTAAAATAATCGATTGTGTGGGAGTTATAGATCTATAGACCTTCATTTGCTTGATATACATATATGATACAAGAATGACTTTACAATAGTACTTTCTCTCTTACCCATTGTTTATACAAGTCTGTTGAAAGCAATATTTTCTCTGAAGCAGACTGAAATATTCCCAGAAGTTTTCCAATTTCCTATAATTTCACCAAAATAAAAAGTACTGTATAAATTGAATATCACCACATATCATGACAAACAAATATTACTTCTGCACATTTTCATACCTGTGGAAAAAATTCTCCTAAAACAGACATAAAATAAGATTAACCATTTAGGAAGGAACTCAGTTGTAAAATACATGCAAATTGTCAATGCAAGTCATAATGCTTAATGTATCATAGGGGCAATAACTCATGCACAATTTACTGCAACCAATTTATTTCCCTTGCTTTTCATGCCCAATTACTTGTCTCTAAGTGTATATTGCAAGGAATATTTTTGTTTACAATTTGTTCAAAAAGTTTCAAAACACATTAGCACTTTTTAAGACTCTGCATGGAAAAAAAACATGCTGACATTTCATTCACAATAATTCCTCATATCCACATAATACATGTACCGAAATATTAAGGCTATGAAAACATTAATCTTATTTTAATTGGAAGATGTAGTTTAGGTATTCTGCACTCTAAAAGCAAAGAGTCATAGTCTGAAAGCTTATATAAAAAAAGAAAATTCCTCTGAATGTAGAGAGATGAACCATGAATTAAAAAATGTCTGAATCATCCTGTCCGACCAAAAGAAATATTCACCCGTCATAATGTATGCAACATTTATTACACATAATGACATCAAAAGCCAATGCCAGAATACCCTATTAAAGAAATAATTCAACTTCATCATTAAGTGAAATCTGTTCATGAATATACAGATTCAATATGGCATTGCCTTGTATGTACCTGGTGACTTTTTTTATTGAATGGTACACCTCAATAGTGAAGGACGGGGTAGGCCACCCCAAGTCTCATTCTGTGTAATATGAAGAAAAATTCTTAAAGGGAATAAAATTTTGACAAAGATTATCATAAATGAAGCCTGGCATTATACATTTCTAGGGGTCTCATTTCACCCAGCACCTGGTGTAAAGCTGACATTAGGGGGCTAGACTTATGTGTCATTTATCATACCTCAACAAGATTCCAACACCACAAGACCTGGCCATATCGCCACCTCTCTTGTATCAAAATATAATGAGTTATGATACCTGAACATAAGATTTAATGGGTGAAATCACTGGTCTTTTGTGTGAACATATAAAGCCCAATATTAATGAACTCAGCCCTATAGAAACCTAGGGAGGCTGAAATTAATTAGGAACCCAGTTCATTAAAGAAAGTATAATAGAGCAGAAAATAACCATGGTATCTGGTAACAACACTTAAACCCACATAGAAATGGAACAATATCACAAAATTATTTTTCTTCTTTGTCCCCTTATAGGTATATTGTGTACTTGCTTTTTTTTTAAAGCAAAGGTGAATACAGCTTAAGGAAGACAAGAATTGACTGGTATTTTGTGCAGTTTGTTTGTTAAGGATACAAACAGAACATTGACAAACAACTATTTCACATTGAAACACAGACCAATGATGGAAGCTCATTATTGTCTGTGTGTCTGTGTGTGTTTTTTTATGGAGAGACAGTTGCTCAATAGTAACTTACCTGGTTTAAATCTATAAAATCTTCACTTAGAGGTGACTTCTTCTCAAATTGAATGATCTTGATACAGGCCAAAATGTACAGGCTCCAAATCTCATCTGAAGCAAAAAAATATTTATAATAGTGTATTTTATGTACTACATTACATACATGCATCAATGTCACTATTTCTTTCATATTTATGTGGTAAACAACAAATCAGCCAAATTATTCCTCACAATCATTTTTTTTTAACTTTTGTTCTAGGAATCAAAATCTCAAAAACTAAATAACACTTTTTGCCAAAAGAGTTTCATGTAGTGTATATGACCTTGTTTTTTAAGAGGAATGTGAAACTTGAGGTACTGTGTGCACTGAGCTCATAAAATGTCCCTTCTCCCATATAAGTGTAATGGCAAATCTTATTTATACCCATCATTAAATTAGTGTTACAACATGCATTAATTATGGAAGATAAGATCAATGGAGTATAGATATAGACATCTAATAATTTAAGTCCTATGTCAGTGTAACACTTATCAAGGGATTTGTAGGCATTGATGTTTGTAATTAAACAGCTGAATTCCTAGTTTCCTCTGTGCTGAACATCAAAATTATTTATTAACATTAAAGTGCTGCATCCCTTCTCTTTCATCAACTGTAATGTGACAGTTCCGATGTTTGATCAATGAAGTGTACAATGAATCTTTTTTAGGTTAGCCTACCCAGCACCAGTCAAGTTAGGATCCAAAGGATTCAAACAATAAAAAACTTTTAATGTTCAAAAAATGATGGCACCTAAAACAAAAGGCAAAGAAATAATGTCCATAAGCAAAAGTACAAGGCATAGTTAGCAAGGAACAAGAATCAATAAATGAAAATTAATGAAATTTGGTATGATTGAATAAGTCAGGTATACAGTACTTATTTTTTGTGTGTATGTTGATGGGGGGGGGGGGTTTAATCACAGCCATATCACATTTTAGTTCTTAGTTACCCCACTGCTTGAAGTGTCACAAAGATAGACAAGTCACATAAAGAATTTTTAGGATGAATGTTGGAAACAGAGATACTTATTGAAGGTGGAGGACTAGTGATAAATTGCAGCAATAATAACAATGTTAAGAAACTGAAATACCAGATGAGTGGCAACATCTCGACAGGACTTATACGGGCAACAAGTCACCAGTTCTTTAGAGAAATAGCTGATAGAAGCAACAAATCAACTGAAGACATAGGGCAACAAGGTTTCTCCTTATCCTTTGCAAATGACAAAATATGTTCTCTTAAACCTTTGCAAATTACAGAATGAAGTAAGAATTAGCTCCTCTAACACCTTTGCAAATGACGGAAAAGAGAAAGAACTTTCTTTTGTTATATTTACATAAAAGAAAAAGAATTTGTTTATCAGAGGCCTTTCCAACTTATAGAGAAATGACTTGCTTCTCTGAAAACTTGACAAATTACAGAGAAAAGAAAGAGCTTGCTATTTTTAAAAGTGTGCAAATTACAGAATTGAGAAAGAACTAGTTTCTCTTAAACCTTTGCAAATTACAGAACAGAGAAAGAAAGCTTTCCTCATGGGATTTTTCATCTGATTATTCGTAGAAAATAAAACTGAATAAAAGACAGTAAAAGAAGCCTCAGCTTTTTGCCATGTCAACAATGATACATTGTACTGTACAGAAAATTCTAGGAATGCATCAGTTCTCATTATGAACACTGTAGAAGAAAAAACATTTTGATTCACAAGTGACCAATAAATCAATTCTATAAATGGAAATGTTTTTGCCATGCTGTCCATTCTATTACCAAAGACTGATTCCAAAAGAGGAGTCAGCAGCTTTCCTGACCAATAAAGTCGGAAATATGAGTAGTATCAAGAAAGCTGTTCACCCCCAAGGACTTCACTGAATGAAATGTTGCATCCCCTTCAATCAACATCCCAGCTGATGGATGCCCACAAAAGTCTACCAGGAGAGGCTTTAGGGCTCTCACAGAAGGAAGCAACATAACGCCATCATGTAATGCTATTATCTTGTGAATTTTATTGAAAGGCTTTTGACAAGAATTGAATAAGACATAGTTGTCAAGAGAATACAGGCAGATGTAGTCCTCAATATAGGGTTAAAATAAGCAACATTAATGAGGAAAAAAAGATATTTCCACAGATCCTAAAAACTATTTCAGAAAAAAATTCATACAATTTATTTTAATTGGATTTTAAATCGTCTTTCTGTCTTTTTAATCTGTGAAGAAAAAAAAAATCACTGTTGTTCATTCAGTGTAACTTTTATTCATTACTTGTCAACTTCTAGAGAGCTGTTTTCTTAATGAAATAACGAGTGAAAAATACATCAAATTAATCTTCATATTCCCAGAAATTACATTTGAATGCTGGGATTCTGGAGTGATGAATGCTGTCGCTACTGTTTTTCATCACCAACAGGAAGTCAACCTTAGATGGAGTCCGGACTCGAAGCAATCAGGACCACAGTAGAGCCAATTGTTTTTTTTTCTCCAAGTTATCTTCTTTTCTATTTATCCAGATCTGGTTCTGCTAACCATCAATAATGCTTAAATTTTGAATTAATGACATGAAATCAATTTTCTGTCATTGTGTACCATCAAAATATCGGACTAAACCCTTTAATCCGGACACAAAACAAAAAAGATCTTTATTCTTCATGTGGATGTAATTGTATTAGTTTTTAATGGGGGCATGACATTTATCATAGTTCTTCAGGCAAGAAAAACCCCTAGAGACATATTTGAGACAAAGGAAAAACTGGTTGTGGGTTTTCGATTTTTTCTGTTGATAAAATAATTAACGTCATCTCCTGAGTGTTTTGCCTCTGTTGAACATCCATAAACACCTTACCCCCATTACCAACACAAAAATTAAGACTTCGTCCGGATTCTTTCTTTCTAATTCAATCAAAAATAATTATGTGGCCCACCCGACTGTAGAGAGCAAATTTCTCAAACTGGAGCAACGGTGTTTCCTTTAGAAACCCTCACTTTTATTCAATGTTACAATTATCACTCCTGTAATTTATACCCCCACATTTCGAGTGCCTAATCCAGCATTAAGGTAGTTTGGATGTCAGGTGGTGTGAATTCTGCTGTACCAGCAGACGTTATTCGGATTAATCCATCTTATGTCCAAACCAAACACTATCCCAAATTTCTGACTGTTAATTGACCAAAAAAATTTAAATCATCACATTCCCTTTATCAGATCCAGGTCTGTGGCCTAAATGTTTCAATTTCTTCATATCCCACTCTTCCTTTTATACCTTTTATCTACTAACTTCACAAGGATTATTACATTAATGCAAAACATACATATACTGAAAACATGGACTGATTTTCTTCAATACTTTGTAAATGTTTGTGCAGTTTTAGTAAACAATTGAAATTTTTCTTTGAAAATGTCTTTGCACAATCTTTAACTTTCCAAACTGTTTTGGCAAACTGGATGCAATATTGGCAAAACACTGTCAAAATCAAAAAAAGGCATACTGCATCTAGGAATTGAATTCCTTGTGAGGTCAATTACCAAATGCTTCAAAGTTCTAAATTATCTTGTGGACAAATTGTTTTGAGCTGGAGAGCCAATCAATATATCTCAATTTCAACCAGAAAACTCAAAATGGGATTGCATAAGCTAATTTCAAGGGTTGATCAACAACTGAAAAATTGTCCAATTAAATTCACTGTGCCTTCACATGGCAGTGATGAAGACTGAAGAGGTACGTAGAAGAAATTACACTTTTCCAACTTTCTAATCATTCCAAAATTCTTAAATTTGTCAGAAAATTTTCCCTCAGGGAAATTGACGTTTACAATGGCACTAGTGTTTTCCTATAATCCAAGACATACCTGGATTCTTATGCCACTGTACCATGGTAAATATTAATTAACCTGTCAATTATTTACACACTCACTTTATCTTCTTTTCCCCTTAATTGCTAAATTCAATTATGGACAGAAGTCCTAATTATACGACAGGCCATGCCGTTTTCTTTGTAGACGGTTTTCAGGTAATTCGATGTACAGCTTTGCCTCTAGCAGGCTCTGTTGCTATCTTCTTTCCTGACTTCATTAACCTTGTTTATGATTCTGTTTAGGGACCTATTTGGTCTTGCAAGTTCTTTGTACAAAGGAACCATTTTCTCCTGAACTCTCTGTGAGTTTATGATCCTTAGATGCCTTCTGTGTACCTAAATTCACTAGCATAGTTATTTCAGCAGAAATTCCTTGACTATATATACATTAGGCATTACCAGTACTGTTTGAAAATCAGTTCATCTTTATCATCCTAAATTCTTCCCAAAGGTTAAATCCACTATCTGCATTACTACCTGTATATTTATGAATGCATTATAATAGCTCAAAGTACATTCATGCAGCTACTCTTAATTAACATCAAATTACATGTACCACATTCTGCCCCACTAACAACAGTTTACTGGTATTATCATTCATCTAGCTTATCATGAATGCAGCTAAATATTAATTTCAACATTTATTGAAGGAGTAATAAAATCCCTTGGGTGTTAAATCTAATTGATTCCCATCAAATATTAATCTTGGACTCTGATTTCTATTTTAATAGCTAGAGACTGAAATACTGTCAGTCAGGAAATGCTTTAATTCAGACATTCTATCTCTCTCCCCAGCAGGTGTGTAACAGGAGAGGGCAGGTAAGGGGGATAACTCAGATGTTGGCAATCCTCCACTACCTCTAACATAGGGTTTTTAGATACAGCCCCACTGCCCCACTGCTTTTTAGATATTAGTTACACCCATACTGTCTTACAAAGAAAATCCCTAGATTTTGTGCTGCACTCTAATAAAATGCAAGGAATGTCATATAATGTGTACTCCTACACGGTCTCATATCAACATGCATTTAAGTGTACCAGAGAAGAGATTTTTTGGCTGAGTTTTGGTAAGCGATACACCCTCTTGCATAGTAGAGATAAAAATGCTTTATTTTTTGGTCAAAGTGGAATTGATAATGTGACTTATGAGATGCAGCCAAACTTTTATTATCCCATTAATTAGGTGTTTTGAATTCATTTTTTTTTATCAAGTATTATGTAGAGTATAT